CAAAATGGAAAAGGACACAGCATGTCCTTTGAACTCCCTAAGTAAGGCCCACAGTGCTTGATGTAGAGAACCAAAGTGAATCACAGAAAAGCTTTTGCTGACAGTCCGCTTTCCAAGAGGCAAACTTGTGTTTATTCAAACCTGATCCCCATGATGGGGACTTTTCTAGAGCACCCCAAATGTCATGGGGTGGGAAGGACTCTTTCTTCTCTCTCAGAGCCACTGTTCACTTGTCTCTGCTTCTGGCACCAAGTTCACAATAGAGATCTGCTGGCCAGAGAATCAGGGGAGAGGAGAGGCCTGATGGGGCAGAGATGGAGGCTGTGGCGGACTCCTTCCAACTCACAATTTATCCTCAGCTCAGAGTGTATTTTGAATGTTGGCAAATGTTTATGTACATACGCGATTTTAAGTTAATAAATCATCTCTATGGCTATTTTCCCCATATGGGTTTGATATTGAATTGTCCCTTGAACATCCCTCATCAGATCAGTGAGGCATAGCTTGAAAGCTAGTGCAGAGCTGCAGGTTACCAAAATGTTATTTTCCTCAGTACTTGTTAAAACAGCAGGAGCCTGTGGTCGACTGAGAGAAAGGAAATGGTTTGTCACATCCCAGTAGGTTTTTCTGCTGTGGCCCCTGCTCACTCACATCACGTGGACACCAAGCCGCCTCTAGATTGTGTGCTTGTTGGAACAGACATTCAATCTATGTGCACCTCTAAGTCCCTTCTCTGTGCCTAGCCCCATAGCTGCTCAGCAAGGAACAAATATCACAGCACTTTAAGACAAAGAAAAATGGCCCTGCCTAGTTGCCTTTAGTTGCTGGAAGAATGTATGTGAGGGCTTCAGTGCCTAAAATGCTCAATTCTGAGATCACACCTGTGGATTCAACTAAGACAGAGACAAAGCCAGGCTGGCACCTGCACCTGAATAAGGAGACTTCACACCTGCCCCTCCAAGGCACAGGTAGCAGGAACGGGATCATTACTCAAACAGCTCCCAAACTGAAAATGAAAATTGCTCATAGATTACTGGCAACACCATTTGGGTGTTTAGGAATCTGGAGACCCAGTCTGGAAATGAAAGGACTTCAATCAACTGTAAGATCCCCTGTAATTTGAAAAAAAATACCCTGTGAATAGCCCAGACTTTCATCTGACTTTCTCATCCCTTCTTTCCACCATTGTGGTTCCCTCTTTCCTTTTATAACAAGACTTCTAAAGGGAGCAGTCTTGGATTCATTGCCCCTTAACACCTCACAAACTGGCTTTCACCCAAGCCCAGTTTAAAGAGAGGTGAGTAAAAGTCAAGTTTTTACTCTTGACTTTTCAGCACTCCTGGCCAATCAGCAACCAAAAAGCTTATAGACACTACTTCTTTTTTTTTTTTTTTTTTTTTTTTGTAATAGTCTTATAAGATATTATTGAAATACTGTACAGTCTACCTATTTAAAGTGTACAGTTCAGTGGTCTTTGTATATTCACAGAGTTGCCACCATCACCACAATCAATTTTAGAAAATCAATTTTCATCACCCCAAAGAGAAACCCATACCCTTTAGCAGTCACCCTCCATACTGCCAGCCTTAGGCAACCATTGACTTGCTGTCTCTATACATTTGCATATCTGGACACATCATATTAATGAAATCATATTCTATGTGGTCTTCTGTGACCGGCTTCTTTCACAGCATAATGTTTTTAAGGTTCATCCATGCTGTCACATATACATGGTTCCTTTTGATTGCCAAATTAATATGGTATCATATGAATATATGACATTTTTGTTTATCCATTCGTCAGTTGATGGACATTTGGGTTGTTCCCCATTTTGTTGTTCTTGTTGTTGTTGTTGTTATGAAGAATGCTGCTATGAAGATCCATGCAAAACTTTATTTTTGTTTTTGTTTTTGTTTTTTTGAGACAGAGTTTCGCTCTTGTTGCCCAGGCTGGAGTGCAATGGCGCAATCTCAGCTCACCGCAACCTCCACACCTCCACCTCCCAGGTTCAAGCAATTCTCCTGCCTCAGCCTCCCCAGTAGCTGGGATTACAGGCATGCACCACCACATCCAGCTAATTTTGTATTTTTAGTAGAGACGGGGTTTCTCCATGTTGGTCAGGCTGGTCTCGAGCTCCCGACTGCAGATGATCCGCCCACCTCGGCCTCTCATAGTGCTGGGATTACAGGCGTGAGCCACCACGCCTGGGCCCATTCGAAACTTTTTTGTATGGACACTCCCTTAAACCAAAGCCTAATCCAGAGCAAAGCCCTGACTTTCTTCAATTCTGTGAAGGCTGAGAGAGATGAGGAAGTTATAGATGAAAAGCTTGCAGCTAGCAGAGGTTTAAGGAAAGAGACCATCTCCATAATATAAAAGTATAATGTGAAACAGCAAGTGCTGATGTAGAAGCTATGGCAAGTTATTTATCCAGAAGATCTACTTAGGATCATTGATGAATGTAGCTCCACTAAACAATGGATTTTCAATGTAAATGAAACAACCTTCTGTTGGAAGAAGATGCCATTGAGGACTTCCATAACTAGAGAGGAGAAGTCAGTGCTTTGGCTTCAAAGCGTCAAAGGACAGACTGACTCTCTTGTTAGGGGCTAAGGTAGTTAGTGACTTTAAGTTAAAGCCAGTGCTCATTTACCATTCTGAAAATCTGAGGGCTATTCAGAATGATGCTAAATCTACTCTGCCTATGCTCTATAAAAGGAACAACAAAGCTTGTATAGCAGCACATCTGTTTACAGCATGGTTTACTGAATATTTTAAGCATACTGTTGAGGCCTACTGCTCAGATTAAAAGATTTCTTTCAAAATATGACTGTTGTTACAATGTACTTGGTCACCCAAGAGCTTTGATGAAGACTTACAAGATGAATGTTGTTTTCATGCCTCCTAACACAGCATCCATTCTGCAGCCCATGGATCAAGGAGTAATTTCAACTTTCCACATCTTATTGTTTGAGAAATACATTTTTGAGGCTATTGCTACCATAGATAATGATTTATCTGATGGATTTCTGCCAAGTAAATTGAAAACCTTCTGGAAAGGATTCACCATCCTAGATGCCATTAAGAACATCTGTGATTCATGGGAGGAGGTCAAAATAGCAAGATTAACAGGAGTTTGGAAGAAGTTTATTCTAATCCTCATGGATGACTTTGAGGGATTCAAGACTTTAATGAAGGAGGTCACTGCAGATGTGGTGGAAATAGCAAGAGAACTAGAATTAGAAGTGAAGCTAAAGATATGACTGAATTGCTGCAATCTCATGATAAAACTTGAACGGATGAGGAGCTGGTTCTTCTGGATGAGCAAAGAAAGTGGTTTCTTGAGATGGAATCTACTTCTGGTGAAGATGCTATGAACATAATTGAAATGACAACAAAGGACTTAGAATATTATATAAATTTAATAAAGCAGCGTCAGGGTTTGAGGGAATTGATTCCAATTTTGAAAGATGTTCTACAGTGGGTAAAATGCTATCCAATAGCATCACATGCTGCAGATAAATTTTCATGAGAGGAAGGGTCAATTATGTGCCAAACTTCATTGTTGTCTTATTTTAAGAAATTGCTACAGCCACACTGATCAGCAACCCACGCTGATCAGTCAGTAGCCATCAACATCAAGGCAAGACCCTCCATGAGCCAAAAAAGATTACAACCCCCAGCCAGTATGGTGGCTCATGCCTGTAATCCCAGCACTTTGAGAGGCCAAGGCGGGTGGATCACCTGAGGTCAGGAGTTCAAGACCAGCGTGGCCAACATGGCGAAACCCCATCTCTACTAAAAAATACAAAATTCAGCTGGGTGCGGTGGCAGGCACCTGTAATCCCAGCTACTCAGGAGGCTGAGGCAGGAGAATCTCTTGAACCCGGGAGGCGGAAGTTGCAGTGAGCTGAGATTGCACCATTGCACTCCAGCCTGGGAGACAGAGCAAGATTCCATCTCAGAAAAAAAAAAAAAGATTACAACCCACTGAAGGCTCAGATGATCCTTAGCAATAAAGTATTTTAAGTTAATATGTGTTGATTGTTTTTAGTCACAATTCAGTTGCACACTACAGTGGACTACAGTTGCGTGAACATAACTTTTATATGCACTGGGAAACAAAAAATGTGTGTGACTCCCTTTGTTGTGATATATGCTTTATAGTGGCAATCTGGAACTAGCCCCACAATATCTCTGAGGTATGCCTGTATGTCTTTGTGGGGTAATGACCTGGAACTGATAGAGTTAGGAAAGAAGGATGAACACCCAGACCCTGTGGGAGGAGGAGAGGAATCCAGAAATTTGAGCATATAGAGTGGAGACCGGTGGGTGCCAGGCAGGCATCGAAAACTCCTGAAGCACTTAACTGTGCGCCAGATCTCAGCTGGGCCCTGTGCAACATCTTATTCGGTCCTTATGAGACGAAGCCTTTTTTCATAGTTTTCAAAATCATCCCATTATATGGGTTATTCTTGTAAGCTACATCATATCCTTTATGTAATGAGGCCAGGTATACATCTATGCACACCTAAAACTTGAGGGTGATTTTTTGCACCAATAATGAATATGAAGTTTAGCAAAACTTGCCAAGGTCACCAACTAGAAATAGAATTCAAACTCAGAAACTGGGGTGGGAGGGTCATTTTTTACTTCTTCCCCTCTCTTTCCTATTTCTAGTCAATGTTCAAGAAGTATCAAGTCCGTCCAAGCGCGGTGGCTTACACTTGTAATCCCAGACGTTTGGGAGGCTGAGGCGGCCAGATCATGAGGTCAGGAGATCGAGACCATCCTGGCTAACACGGTGAAACCCCATCTCTGTATTTTGTATTTGTAAAAATGCAAAAACCTGGGTATGGTGGCACATGCCTGTAGTCCTGTCTACTCAGGAGGCTGAGGCAGGAGAATCACTTGAACCCAGGAGGCAGAGGTTGCAGTGAGCCAAGATCGTGCCACTGCACTCCAGCCTGGGTGACAGAGCAAGACTCCATCTCAAAAAAAAAAAAAAAAAAAAAAAAAGCATCAAGTTCACTTCCTATTTTTAAACTTATCCACTTCTCTCTTATCTTTGCTGATGCTTCTCTAGTACAACAGTTTCTTTATTGGTCTTCCTGCCGGATGGCCTGGATTCATCCTAGAACATTTGACTCTCTCTGCCTCACTCATCTTTAAATGGGGATCACAACAGAACCTACCTCATAAAGTTATTGTGAAGGTTAAATGAGCTAACGCAGGTAGAGTGTTCAGCATAGGATATAATTAGCACTCAGTAAGGGTAACCTATTATTCTCCATAAAGCTACCCATATCATGTCACACCCTGGCCTAAAGCATTAGTTAGTTTCCCACTGCCCTCTGTGTTTGTACTTCTGCACAAGGCTGTTGGTGATATGGCCCACTGCAGCCTTTAGACCTCCAGCCCCTTCTTTTCCTACTCTATTCCTCTTGACTTCCATGCTTCAGCCACCCTGAGCTTCCGGTAGTTCCTAAAGGCACTGTAATACCCTTTTCCTGACCTTAGGAGCTTTCTCAGCCCTCTGTACATGTTTTATCACAATTCTTACTGTGCTGGAATGGCCTGTTTATTTTTGTGATTTCTCCTTCAGTGTGTAGGCCCCAGGATGGCCAGAAAAAGATCAGTCTTACTCATCACTAATTCCTCAGATTTCAGCATGGCTCCTGGCACGTTATAGGTTCCCAAACATTATTTATCGAATAGGGGGATGGGTAGGCACATAGGAGGGAGGAAGAAAATATAACAATTCTGTGACCCCAAAGTCCGGTACCCTTTGGACTACTCCTGCCTGCCTTCTTGCAGCTCTCTAAAGAAAGTGGAAAGTAGGGGCCATACTCAGAGGACTGGAGAGAGTGGGGCTGGGAGATACCTCCATTGCTCCCTCTTCAGTCCCATCTCCACATTCACTAGCATTTTCTTTCTTACAAATCTAAGATTTGTAACTTCGCTGCTTAAAAATCCACAAGTCCCCCACTGCTTACAGGAAACGAGTGTACCCCTTAGAGTGGCACACAGGAACTCTCAGCCTCTTGCCCTCCCTTCTCCCCTCTGCAGCTCACAGCCCTTGGCCGTCTCCCAAGGACACACTGCTGTTTCCCGCCTATGTGACTTTTCCAGGTCCCTCTCTCTCGGGTGAATCTTTCCAGACCTAGCTCAGTTATCATCACTTCCATGGAAGTTTCCTAATCTCTCCGGCATCAGTATATACTCTTGGCTCCCATAGAACTCTGTAGAGCCTTTGTTATAGCCCACCTCAATCTGTCCCATATTGCTGTGTGCACTGTTTGTCTGCCCTGTTAGAATGTAAAGTGTTCAAAGAGAACATATATTCACTTTGGAGAACCCGACCTTACCACTTGTGAGCTGTGTAGATTTCGGCAAGTTGCCTATATTCTCTAAGCCTTGTGTATAATAATGCATAAAAATATTTGTTAAGATGAGAAGTGACCATTTCTACCTTACAGGTTTGGTGCCTGGAATGCTGATGTAGACCTGGAAACTAGCCCAGATGGAAACAAGAATGATGAGGCCACAGTGTCCATGAAAGTAGGGCAAGGCAGGGTGTCCAATGGAGCCAGAGGGAGTACCAAGAGGGAGGTCCTTGGAACACGGAGGAACCAGAAGGCCCAGGAGTAGGAAGCAGTGTTGGTGTTTGTAAGGAAGTAGAAGAGGTGGTTGGCCAGAAGACAGGCCCTGTTCGAGATCTAACCAGCACATCAGAGCTGGCCTCTTCCTCCCTTCTTCCTTGCAGGCCACAGCCAAGCAGCCTTAACTGACACCTCCTTGGCACCAGCACACAAACAATGGCCCATGGCCTGACTTCTGCCAGGATGCCCTAGGCCCGTGCCCTTCACCTATTCTGCACCTATAAGATTGGTGTTTGCCCTCTTTGATTCTTCCAGGTGCTGCCCCACCCTGTTCTTCTCCCCATTCTTTAAGTGCTGAGATTGGCCAGTCCCGTGCTGAGATGAGGGAGCCGGAGGAAGGGAGACTGACTCTCCTCACTGCTGTCCATTGGGATGGGATGAACTTCACAGCTCCAGTTTCCTGTGTTCTCCTCTCAGCTGCAGGTGATTTAAGCTTGTTGGATTTATATAACATTGGGAAATGGTAAACTGTGTAAATTTGCTATGTTTTCCAGGGACCGTTATTTATGGAAGGGCATTTTTAACTCAAGTGCTAGAAGTGTTAAATCATTATAATAAATTCATGCTATTCAGACTTTCTTACATTGTAATAAATTTTTTCTAAGCATGAATGAGAAGATCCATGGTTCTTCTAATATACCATTATGTATTTCTTCTCAAAATGACACAGCTTACTACAAGTTGGAGAATAATAGAATGAGATTTACTGTGTTGGAGGGGAAAAAAAAGCAGTTGAGCAGCGATGAGTCTGAGAAAGGACTTGGGAGCAGTGATCACAAGCAGAACTTCTCCCTGCCTCTCTGCTTGCTTCTTAGCCAGGTGGAAGGAACAGGCATTGAGTGGTTGCATCCTCTCAGTCTCCCACGTGAGCTTAGGGACAGCCTTTGTGCACAGAAATGGGGCATCCTAGTGGCCCTCTGCGCTGTCCTGTCCAGGGGCAGGTGTGGGAGTGGGGCTCTGTTGGAAAGAGAAGCTGTCTTTCCACATGGTGTCAAAGCCCTGCCAGGAACATCAGTCTGGGCAGAGAGCTGCGCTGCATATAGCACCCTCTCCTCACCTCAGTCTTCACCTGAGAGCTCACCTGGATCCAAAGATTCATAGCTTCCACCAGATTCTCAAAGGGATCTGTGATCCAAAAAAAAATTCAGGAATCACTGGTCTTAGGTGAATTCTGAAGCATTTTCTGACTGTCCACTATGTGCTAGCCAAAGTTCAGCAACATAGCTCCAGACTTCCAGCAGAGGACAGGGCAGTGAGGCAGAAGGTCAAGTTGAGCTGCAATTAAGAGTTCCCTGAGGTCAGTGCAGTCACAGAGCCCTGAACAGTAACCTCTGGGTCAGGGTCTTCCATCAGAATTTTCCCAAGCAGAGGAGCACTGTGTTCAAAGCCATGGAGAAAAGAACCCCAAGGTAGTAAGCTCATGGACAGCCTTGAATGCTAGGCTTGGTGTTTAAACTTGGAGGAGCAGCAAGGCTCATGCTTGCATAGGCCCATGAGACCTGCATAGACTGCAATCCTTGGCAACAGTTTACTTAGTGTTCTGTCAGAGGCTTAGGTTTAAGTTCTTTCCCTGTAGCTGTGTGACATTGCACAAGTCCCATCACCACTCAGTGCCTCTGTCTACAAAACATAGATAGCACATGTATGCATGCTTGCCTTGCCTGGCACAGTATCTATGGGGATCTGATGAAAGGATGCTCATGCACCTGCTGAGTAAACAACTGCAAACCTCTTTATACATATCAGGTGGCTATAATTTATCTGGAGACTGGCAAGGAGCAGTGGGCCCCTCTGAAGCATGGAGAGTGGGGGATTCCGTGATAGCCAGGCAGAGCTGGGAAGCTGGGCCTGCCAGCTCCCAACCATTGCTGCCTCCTGCACTTGTCACCACCTCAGGCAGTGCCTCCAGCAGGGCACCCCACTGCCACACTTGCCCCAGTTTGAGAATGTCATTTACCTCTGTTTCTCCCATCAGCCTAGAACCTCATCCCCCATACAAGGTCCTGGCTTCTTAAGACACCTCTGCCTCAATGGCCCTGGCTCTCCAGATCTCAGCCTTGAGGAGTGTCAGCATCAGGCAGAGCTGAGAGCCGTTCCAGAGTTGGGACCTCAGTTGTGGTCCACATGGCCATCTGCCTCCATGAGGGGTGCCTATGGGTAACTTCTGCCCTTCTTTCTTATACTCCCCACCAGCCTCCATCCTCCACCTCTAGTATTTCTAAATCTGTCCCTTTCTTCAGAACTAAACAACTAGTGATATTATTTTCTTGTTTGGCCAGTCAGGCTGCTTCTGGGGATGGGGTGGGAAGGGCATCCCCAATTGTTTCTGAGCCATGGCTAGTGTTTTTTACTGGGCTGGAGGAGAAACCATGGTGGCCTGATCATGCTGCTGGGACTGCTGAGGTTGCAAGCTTCCTATGTCTGTGTTTGGGGGTTTCTCCTTTCATGTGCAACCCAGCACATTGTCTAAGGAAGGAAGCGGTTGGGGACTGGTCTCTGCAATGCCTGGTCCACATGACTGACCACTCTCCCCAGGCTGACCCAGCTAATGTTCACACCAGCCATTTTTTTTTTCATACATTTTATTTTGAAGTCAGACTTACAGAGAAGTTTTAGAAATAATACAAAGAATTATTTTATATCCTTTACTCATATTCCCCAAGTGTTAACATTTAACTTGTTTGCTTTATCATACACTCTCTCACACACATATACATACTGTATTATTACTTTTTTCTGGAAACATTTGAGAGTAAATTGCTGACCTAATACCCTTATTTCCCCAAAAAGTTCAGCATATATTTCCTAAACAAGGACAGCCTCTTTTATAACCACAGTACAGGTATCAAAATTAAGAAATTAATGCTGACACAGTACCTGATCTTATTTAAATGTTGCCAGTTGTTGAACTAATATCCTTTGTAACCAAAAACAAAAAAAAAAAGAAATTCTGGCCCAGGATCACAAGTTGCATTTAGTTGTCTTGTCTCTTTAAATGAGCACAAGCCATTTACTTCATAGAACATTTTGGGTTGGCTTGTTTCCTTATGATTAGATTCCAGTTATGCATTCTCAGCAAGAATAAATGATATAGTCTCCTTTTGAGCACATCTGACCAGGAGGCCCATGATAGCATTTGTTACATGTTACATTCCAGATGACACTAACTTTGATCACCTGGTTAAGGTAGTATCTGCCAGGTTTCTCCTTATATAATAAAAGTACTAACTTTCCCTTTGTAATGTGTAAGTATCTTGTGGGGGTATACTTTGAGGCTATGTAAATATTGTTTCTCATACCTTTTTTTACCCACTTGTTTTTATCACCCATTGATGTTTCAGCACATTGCATTTAAATCCTTAGACTTCTACTTTGCCCCTGCCTACTCTCTTTGACCACCAGTCCACTGCTAGGAGAGAGACTGGAAACAGACCATTTACTTCTGATCCTCGGGGCCATTAGCTAGGGCAATAACTACATACAGAACAACACACAACAGCATGGGAACAAGAGCCCAGTGAAGTGGTTCCCACTCAGGGCACTAGAAAGTCAGAAAACAGGTGCTCAGTTTCCAGTAGACCCCCTGGAGCAGGTGGACCCCAGACTAGGACTTAAGGACAGGAAGAATTTGGATGACCAGAAATCTGGAATGGCATGAGAATCTGTGTCCATATGCCATATTTGAGGGCCCCAGTGAGACTCTGCCCCGAATGCCTGTCATCCCAGGAGCTCCCATAGTACTGGGAAGACCTGAACCACCAGGCTTTCTTTTGATCCCTGTTCAGAGTTGGGACAACATGGGGCAGAGAGGCCCTGCAAAGAGTGGGCCAGGCCTAGGGTGCTTCAGAAGAGGCCTGTAGAAGGCATCCCCGCCTCCACTCCCCACCTCTTCTCATTCATTCAGCAAACACTGGTGCATACCCCATGCCAGGTATTGAAGTCAATGCTGAAGACACACAATACTCTCAAAGGGGATGCTTTGAGCCCAGAGATTCTTAAGGTCACTCAGCACTGAGGGCAAGGCAGGAGCTATCTTCTGCCCAGAATCAAGAGCAGAATACAGTGGAGGATAAAACCCTGTGCCAAGCTCCCTCATTCTAGGCTGACTCTCATGCCCAGAGCAAGGATGAGGGCACTCACGGTCACACATCTCCTCTGACCTCTCTTCGCCAGTGCCCTTTCTCAGCACTTGGCAGAGAGCTTCAGGCACTTGGCAGAGAGCTTCAGGCACACTGAAGTGGGGCCAAATCCCTGAGACCCAGGCTGCCTGCTCACTTTGCAGAGGAGGGATCTGAGGCCAGAGAGGTCTGAGCCTTTCCAAGACAGGCCTGACTCCACTTTTCTGCCCTGTGGATAGGCTGTGTGTCTCTGTTTGAGGCTTGGAAACACAATCAGCAAAGAGGCTTTTGAGGCAAGAGCCATTATGCACGTGCCTTGAATAGGTAGCTTCTTCCAATGTAATATGAAGATTACGTACACAGCGTCTGCCATAAGGGAGACCTGGGTTCAAATCCCAGTTCTGGGGTTCATGTGACTTTCATACAGCATATAAACTCGTCTGTAAAATAGGGCCCAGGATTGCTGGGAAGGTTAACTGGAATGGTGTCCCTGAAGTAGCCAGGACAGTGTCTAGATGATAAGTAGATTGTTTTGAAACAAGGCCTTGTGTCTTCCCCCAGCATATTCCCAGCCTACCTAAGACATCTTGCAGTTCTTCAGAAGGTCTGGGGTCCTTTGTTCCTCCATGACCCCTCCCATGGAGTCCATGTAACACCCACGCACTCTACAAAACCTGACCCAGGTGTCTCCACTCTCCCAGACAGGGCCACTTGCCTTCCCTCCTCCGGGCTGTCCTGGGCCCCCAACACAGTTCCCACATGCTAGTGTGCAGTTGTCTTTTGCTTGTCAGGGAACCTCATGGGGAAATTAGCGCAGCTGATTTTGAATCCTGGCTCCATTACTTTCTTACAGTGTGGTTTGGGGCAAGTTACCTACCTTATCCAAGCCTGTTTGTTCATCTGTAAGGTAGTGTGATAGCACCTTGCAGAATTACAGGATTAGAGATAATACCCATAACATACCTCACACTGGGCCTGGAAGGTGCCCAGTGTGTGCTGTCTTCATCTCTTCACCTCTAATCCTTAGTGCAGTGCTGTGCTCGGTAGGTACACTACAAATATTGGTTCAGCAGGTTAGGGAACAAATTACTCCCCATGCCAAAGTAGTTTTCATTTTAAAAGCAGAACGAATGAGGCCTAGGTCTAACCCAAAGAAAAAGGCCTAACAATGGGATCTGAGACCTGTGTAGGACTGGAGTGCAGTGAGAAGCCTGGGGCACGTGTGTGGGATCTCCTTAGCAGAAGCCCACGTCCTGCCCATGCAGGGCAAAAATGACCCACAGTTGTCCTGCTCCTGAAGCCCCTCCTTGGTTTCCATGAAGAGAGCAGGAAATGGAAGGGAAACAAGGTTGACAGCCCCTGGGTCCACTGGATTTCCTGCCATCCCAATGCCCATGGCTCCCTGAGCTGGGCCCCAGGAATAGGTAAGGACAGAGTGGCAACGGCAACAATGAATCATGTTGGAGAGCCTGAAGACAAGAGGCATCTCTGTGCCTCAATCAGTGAAGTATGGGGCCTTCACAAATGGCTGAATTTTCCCCTTTATTTTAAAAAGCTTAATTTTTAAACATTTTTTATTTATTTATTTATTTTTAATTTTTTTTAATTTATTTTTGAGATGGAGTCTCACTCTGTCTCCAGGCTGGAGTGCAGTGGCACAATCTCTGCTCACTGCAACCTCCATCTCCCAGGTTCAAGCGATTCTCCTGCCTCAGTCTCTCCAGTAGCTGGGATGGGAGGCTGGCATTTTTCTGGCATGTGCCACCACGCCCGGCTAATTTTTTGTACTTTAGTAGAGATGGGTTTCACCGTGTTAGCCAGGATGGTCTCGATCTCCTGACCTTGTGATCCTCCCACCTCGGCCTCCCAAAGTGCTGGGATTATAGGCGTGAGCCACCATACCCTGCCAATAAGCTTAATTTTGTTATAAGCAAATTCTTAAGATTAGTGCAAACCCAGTTGAGCACCCCCAAGCAAGTTCTTAAGATCAGTGCAAACCCAGTTGAGCCCAGTTTGCACTGATCTTAAGAATTTGCTTATCATTTTCTCCGAAGTTAAGTGTACTGGGGGAAATGACTGACACAGCTCAAAAGGCTTTTGAACTTCAGGTAGCTCCATAAAATGTTAATAAATATTATATTTATTTCAATTTAATTTTCTCTCCTTGTTAATAATAAAAGCTCCCGTCTGTCCCTATAACCAGCAAGTGCTACCAGGGAGGGGGACTTACACACCCATTAGCAACATGTTTACTAACTTGTTACTCACCTTTAAGGACTCCAGCTCTATCAAGGAGAGAAGGGAAGAAAAGCATTGGTACCTAGATCAATATAGATGCTGCCATTTCTTAAAGGTGAAATTGGGGTTGTTGAGAAAAAAAGTCAGAATAAAGAAGGTAGTAGGAGACAGGAGAGAAGGGCTGGAGGGGAGTGACTGTGCAGAGTTTACAACTGAGGGAGATGTGATGTAGAGATCAAGGGCACAGCCATGCAGATAGACCTGGACTTGAACGCTGATTCTAGGTAATTTAGGTGAGGGACTTAACCTCTCTGAGCCTCAGTTTTTGCATCTGTAAATTAGGGTAATAACATCTGCATCATAGAATTATTGTGAGAATTCGATGAGATTATAACTAAGCAGTTCTTAACGTACAGGCTAGTACAGAGCAGCACCCCATAAAAGACAGCTACCCCCGTGCCTCAATGAATGATGCCCAAATGGTAAGAGGTGACTGGACGGCCCTGATGTCTCTGTTCAGCCAGTGGGTCCCAAGCACCCCAAGGCCTGGGCTTACCTCTTGGGAGTCACATGGGGCAGCTACAGGAGCCTGGGCACATCACTGCCTGGCTCTGGGTCTCCTCAGTGGAAATGAGGATGACAGCTGAGTTCCTTCCACCTATACACTCCATGCCCACACTTAAAGAGCAGGGTGAAAAAGAACTGGCAACACTGGCTGCTGCTAGGGAGAGAAATGGATGACTGGATTCAGGGGTGGGAAGAACTTCATTGTTTCCTTTTTCCTGTGTTTTGAATTTTGAAATATATGAATATTTTTTTCAAAAAAAAATAGATAAAAATTTTTAAAATGCAAAGACCAAATTAGTATGCAGCCTGAGGCCATGTGAGCCCAGAGGAGGAAGGATGCAGACAGCAGCAGCCACAGTTGCATTGGGAATGCTTTTGGGAAAGGAAAGGGCAAAGAGAGCAGCAGGGGCACAGCAATGTCAGCTAATTGGGGTCCCCAGAAAAGAGCAGTGAGAGGCAGAGGTGTGTGCACCTCAGCATGACAGGAATTCTCTGGAAGTGGCATAGACTGACTGGACTTCACAAAAAAAATGACCTAAAGTGGTCTTGTGTCAAGTTGAAGTTTGCTTTTGTTGGGAGGTGGATTGTCAATAGAATGGAATTAAGAAAAGGGAAGGAGGATGGGATCGCAGCCTGAGCCATTCGTTGAGTGTCTGTGCTGTAAGAAATTTGCCGCTCTGATAATCCTTGGGGTGGAATGTAGCTGAGTGTGGCTGTCTCTTGTTCACTCCTCAGCACTCTTGGGGGTGGTATTATCCCCATTTTAGAGATAAGGAAATTGAGGCTCAGAGAGGTTAAGCAATGTTTCCAAAGTGACACAGAAGGTATTAGAGAGAACTGTGATTTGAATCCTGGTCTGAAGTCAAAGTCCCTGCCTTTTTCACTCTGATACCCTAATCTTTCCATCCCCTTCCTAGTCTGGGAAAGTCTTGGTTAGAGCTCCACAAAGGGCAGAAGCAGAGATGGAGATGCTCAGAGTTTCCTGAAGAGGCAAACAGTTAGGCTGGCAGGAGGAGGGAGAAAGGGTGATATAGAGGGCCCTGGGGAGCTGGTGCTGGCTCTCCAGGCTTTCACTCTGTCACTAGCAAGTCCCAGGACACCTAAGAATGTTGGAGACCAGAGACTGGCGGTAACCAAAGGGAGGACTTGAGGAGAGAAGGGAGGGCAGCTTAGAGAAATGGAGGGTCAGTAGGGGGAGGAAACTAGAAAGTTAAAATAAAAATCTTATATTTGCAAGCATTCATCTAGGGATGGGAGGGTGTGTTGACTATACACTTATTCCACATGCTATCACTACTTAAAGAGCATTTCCAGAACACCTGCCTCTTTGGGACATGCCTTCAGCCGTCAGTAATTTGTCCATTCCTTCCTTCCTTATTCACTCATTAATGCAGGAATGAATCATTATTGACTGACTATCCAACTGCCAGAACTCACTAGTCTGTTGAAGGTAGTACGTCAACAGTAGCTAATAATTTTGATCTGGGGGTGGGTTCCATTTCGGTAAATAGTCAAATGGCATTCACAGCCAAGTCTGATGCTGTCACTTTGCGCTGGGCCCCTTAAGCTCACTGCCATATTGTGCCTTATCCACTTTACCAAGTGGGCAAGCAAGGTGGGAAATGTTCATCTGTGTTTTACCCACTGTAATTCAAACACTAGCCCTGCAGACCCTGTGCTATGGGGATCTGCAGCTTTGCCTAGAAGAGCAGCAGCAGTCCTGGAGGATGGAGGCCCTGGCAGTGCTTGCACGAGTGGGGAAGCTCTAGTATGTCTTGTGTTTCTCTCCGTGCTTAGTATGAGGGACGGGGGTGTAATCCTGCTCAGAACAGGAAAAAGGTCAGATCTTTAGGAAAACACCGAGGGAGATGGAAATGTTAAATGAAAGGTCTCAATAAACATAACTTTTTCATACTAGCATCACAGATAGGAAGATAGAAGGAGGAGAAGAAAGAGAGAGAGAAGCTGTGACTACAAAGGTGTGGAGAAAGAGCTGGAAGGGCTTTGAAAGTGCTGCTGGGAACAGGTGCAGTTGCCCTGGGGAGGTGCTGGAGAGGGGCTGGGGCTCCCACCAGGAGCCAGTTCCACCCCAGGATAAGGCCCTGGTGAGGCTATGAAGGCCAAGTTCCCCAGGGGCTGCCACAGCAAGGTTACAGCTGCCCAACAGGCCAGAGCCAGCTGGCAGACATCAGTGCAGCATGGAAAACATTAAGGGGAAATGGAGGCATTTAGCAATGAAATGACTTGATACCTGGGATTTTTGTCAAACTAATTGTGAGTTGAGGTATGCTGAAGCTGGGTAGTGAGTACATGGGGATTTTTTTTTTTTTTTTTTTTTTTTTTTTTTTGAGACAGAGTCTCACTCTGTCTCCCAGGCTGGAGTGCAGTGGCGCGATCTCAGCTCACTGCAAGCTCCGCCTCCTGGGTTCACGCCATTCTCCTGCCTCAGCCTCCCGATTAGCTGGGGCTACAGGCGCCCACCACCGCGCCCGGCTAATTTTTTTAAGTTTTTAGTAGAGACAGGGTTTCACCGTGTTAGCCAGGATGGTCTCGATCTCCTGACCTCGTGATCCACCCGCCTCGGCCTCCCAAAGTGCTGGGATTACAGGCGTGAACCACCGTGCCCGGCCCTACATGGGGATTCTTTATGCAAGTGTCTCTACTCTTGATTATTATGCTTGAAATAAAAAGTTTCTAATAATAAGCAAAAGGTCTTTTACAAATAGGGGTGCTATGAAGGAACCACACACTGCAGATAGGATAACAGCAAAGGAATAGAAGCCATAGAATAGAAGCAAAAATGAACAAGAATTTTGTCTTGGGTTCTCTTAACTAACACTGCAAATCAGGAGTTCTTAACCAGAGCTCTGCTCTCCATACTCTCCTTCAGGGATCCCTGAGCTCTCCATAATCATGTGCAAAGTGATCTAATAGTTTTCAGCAAGTTTTCAAGGATCTCTTTCCCCCAGAGGTTAATAAATTGTATTCTCTCTTAAGTGTGCCATGCATGTATCAGAAACCTGGTGCGCGGTTTTTACATTGAAGGTTTCTTTTACAGAACTGGAATGTTCATCTCTGGTTCCAGTGTTTTCAGCCCCGCTCTCAGTCAGCCATACCCAGAAGACAGCAAAATTGCCTGGCTGGTTTCCCAGCCCATCTCTGGTGACAGCTCCCAGGGTGCCTACAGTCTTTAGCCACAACACCTTCAGTGGAGGTAGGGGAGGACTATGTCCCAGAGACAATGGTATGCAGTGGGGAGGTGGACACAAACAGGAGAGGTCTAGGAAGGTCACTTGGGGATCTCCGGGAGGCTTCATGGGGTCTGAAAGAGTAAGAGGGGGTGCTGGGGGTTGAGGTTGTCCTCTTTCAGCTGTAGGTATGCAACAGAAATCACCGTGTTGACTAGTCTGAGGCTCGAAACCTAAAGACACCTCCCCACTCCCCAGAGAATTTCTTAGAAAACACCTTCCATTCTTCTCAGGGCAGAATAATACCCAGTGTGACATTTAGCCCCTTTAAGCTAATTCTTCCAAGAAGTGCAACTCTCTAGAATGGACAGAGCAGGCTGTCACTTGGACTTGCAGCCCTGTTGAGCAGCAAAGGGGGGTTAGTTTAGGGGACATTCAGGGTCTCCTCAGTCCTTCTCTCTTGGAACCATGTCCACATTTAGGTCAAGACTTGAAGGCCTTCCCTTATTTGCTGATACATGAAGATCTTTCTCTCCAGCCTAATGCATCACAGGCCAGCATCAGAAGCACAGACTTAGCCCCTGGCCCTGAGAAGAGAGATGGGAGGAGAGGATGGAGCATGGGGTCCAGGCACTGCTCTGTAGCTGGGGCTCTGAGCTCTGCTCTCTATACCCTCCTTCAGAGGAGACAGGTGGGGACTGAAGCGACTTCCCCATCTCCCACAGGGGGGCACAGACTGACAGGCAGTCAACGACCCTTGTTTCCGGGGGCTTATCTTCTCTCCTCCAGGCATCTGAAGCCTTGCAGCTTCCCTGCCCCTCATTTGGCAGCCCTCTTGTCTTAGCAGTGGGGAGAGGTGGAGGCCCTGGGAAAGAGTCTGCCTATTCCTAGACCAGACTACGGGGCTGAGGGCAGGAGAAGGGAAGGAGGTGGGAGAGCAAAGATTGAGAAGAAGGTCTGTCCCAGGCCAGGACTGGGTGAAGGCATGCAGCTGGTGTGCAGCTGTCTGGGCTCTCCTCTCCAGACGCCTGCCACCCCTCTCCAAGTCCTGCATGGTGTCCTTCCTCCTTTGGAATGCTCTAATGCTCTTCCTTCCCACCCTGGCATTCAGGATCTGGAAACCTCTCTGCAGCTCATATCTAAGTGTAGGACAGGCAGCATGCCAGGAAACACCCCAGCAGAGGCCCCCTACTCTTCTTTCTATACCCCTGCCCCCACCAGGACCCTGACTGAGGGCCCAGAATCCTGTTTTCTCCATCCCTGCAAACTGCCAAAGCAGCGGGAGGTGTGAGGCCAAGAGCAAGATGCTTGCTGGTAAATTTGGAGTTGCATCCTCATCCTTCTTCCTTTATTGTGGCCTCTTTCCTCCACTGCCTCCTTCCCTAAGGTGTCACATAACTTCCCCCCAACCCAACACTTGCTCGGCCTTCAGGTCGGGTGGCCTCGGTGACCTCCTTTCTGTTCTGCTTGGACACTGTGGCCACCTCTTCCAGGAACCCAGAAGAATGAATTTGCAATGGGGACTTTCAGAGACACCAGTCCGGAGAGATTCTTCCTAGAGTGGAACAGGACCTCCTTTTATTGTTCCCATCACCTCCCAGAAAGAGCTTCACATGCTGAAACTCAGAACGAGGGCCTGTGTTGCAGATTCCATAAAGAAGACCAAAGGTACTTCCAGCGGGCAAGCCTTGGGGCTGTGAGGCACAGCTGGCCAGAGTCCGAGAGGCACAGACCAATGAAGAAATCTTTTTTTTTAAACTGTGCTTTATTTAGGGCTAAGCTGGAGAAAGCGTCATCCAATAGTTACAGAAGGTTACAAGGAGTTTTAGGGAGTTGAGTGTGAAAAGAGCAGTTGTACTGAACTGCAGCTGTTTTCTTTTTTTTTCTTTTTTTTTTCTTTTTTGTTTTTTGTTTTTTTTTTACATCTGGACATCCTAAAAGGAGGAGTCAAGAGAAAAAAAGAAAATGAAAAACAACAACAACAACAAAATTGACAGAAAGAAAGGAAAGGCAGGAGGCCCTAGAGGAACTGGAAATTTGTTCTTCTAAAGGGAAACAATGGTAGGTCTGAGAACCCCCGGCCTCCAGATGATCTGGACATCAATGTGAAGGAATCGAGGCAGAATGCCAAAGCAATCTTCCCAAGGGTGCAAATAAATTATAATAAATATGTTATACTTTAAAATATATGTGTTCTTAAATAATTCAGTGTTTTTCTGATTCTGAGTTTTTTAAGCAATGTCTTTAACTGCTCTAAAGTCATTTACCAAAGATAAATATCGTGCTTTCATTAAATAGTTTTCCTTGTTTTTTTCTCTATCATTACAATTAAAAGTCCTACAAAATATGCAAATTTATTTACAGAAAAACAGAGCCGGCATCATTTAAACATCCCTGTTTTTCAAAATTCCTTGTAAACAGTTTCAGAAATTCTTCAAAGATTGTTTATTTTTCTCTCTCTTTTTTAAGGTTTTGTGTGTGTGTGTGTTGTCTAGTCGTTTTAAGATGAAAGTTCCCAGTTCTCCCTTGCCCGGAAAGTCTCTGGAGCAAGCGTGGAAGGCGAGTGAAGCGGAAGGTGAGTGAAGCGCGCGCAGCTCCCGGAGGGAAGCAAGAGGCGAGGACGACGGCGGCGGCGACGACCCGGGCAACGCGACCGTTCCCGGCCGATGGCGTGGCCTCCACCGGCGACAGGCAGCCAGGCGCCCGCAGGTGTGGGGCAAGTTCGGCCTGGCCCTTGGGGACAACGGCGTCCGACAGCACTCGCGGGGAGAAGGGGTTGATGCTCTGTCTAAACTCTACAAAAGTACAGTCCTACAACATCTGGGATTTTAGCAGTAATGCTAACTTCTATAGCTTTTTTTTTCTTTTTTTTTTTTATTTTTTATTTTTTGCTTTCCTCTAATTTTTCTTCTATTATATAGGTATTTTAAACTTTTCCTTTTTAAAATTCTGTACAACTATTAGGATTTTAAGAGGGGGAAGAGTTAGAAGCATTTACAGACTTTTCACAACAATGACCTTGCTTGGTAAGTCCCGTTTGTCCCCTCTTTGTTTTCTCACACTCCACGGTTAATGAGTTTTAAGATTTGTGTTGCTTTCCCCAAATATCCACCAATTTGTTCACCTTAACAGCTCCATCCAGACATAGAATACAGAAAACCATAGGAAAGTGTCATAGACTTGGATGAGGGTCATCAAAGCGCCTCTCAAAGTATCAAAGAACTATTATCTTGCTGTTTTAAAAGCACTGAAGCGTTATATTTCCTTTTTTTGTTGTTTTTTTGTTGTTTTTTGTTTTTTTTTAAATTTTTTATTACATTTTTTCATAGAATCGCTCTAAGCTGTTTCAAGAACAGCCATGAGGCAGGAAGGAGGGGGTCCTCCATTCCCCCTCTATTTGACATAGAGCTACACATCTGCAATAAAAAGTTTGGTCCTTTGGTCCCTAAATAGCTAAAGGAATGACAGATAGAGATGCTCAGTGGCGGCCTCCCAGCCGCCCCCTGGGGACCAGGCCCCACACACCACTTGCCCCAGCCTGCCTCAGGCGCCCATGGGCTGGAAAAGCCCCGGGATCGGTAAGCAGCGTCTCCTCCCAGTTCCCAGCCCTTCAGCCTCCCCGTCTGGTCTCATGATATTTTGTTTTAAAGTTGCCTTTTGTGTGTGTTTTTTTTCTCATTTTTCTTCATCTTCTTCTTATGTCATATATATATTTTCCCCCAAACACGTGCCCTCTGAACTCCATAGACGCTATACTTTCCTTGAAGAAATGTTACAGTCACACAGACAGTGTCTGGAGTCTTCAGCTTGATTGATATTGGCTGATATGTCAAAGGTGTCATCCAACAGTTCTCATTTATAAATATATAGAGAGAGAGGTTTGTTTTTTAATGTAGCCCGTTCAGCATCCTGCCCTAAAATGAAGAAAATCAGGGCTGATTAAGCCAAGAGGGAAAACACAAACAGCATCCAAACACCAATAGGAACCTGCCTCAGGGGTTAGGATGGGAGCTCTAGGGGATGGTGGGAGGGAAGGAAGAGAGACCAGTATGAGAATTAGTCATGATCATGATACATTAAAAAGAAATATACTCTTCTATTCAGAGTAGAAACCACTGGGAAGTCTAGTGGTGATGGTTGTAGCTGAGGTTTCGTTGTTGGGAGGTTCTTGATTTGGGTTACTTTAGCATTCTGGATTGGGGGTTGCTACATCTAAGGGGAGAATTTGGGACTGTGGGATATGAATTCATAATTAAACTTGTCTCTGAGAGATCTAGCCCAGATACAATATGTATACAGAAGCCTAGCAAACAAGATAGCAAAAATCTAGCAGCCCAGCCCACTCCTCCCAGCTCAAGGGAAAGAAGGAAGACACATCCGTGACTCAAATTTTGTAGAATCCTTGCCCAGCTTCCAGCCAACCACTTCTTTCCCGGGGTCAGTAACTATTTGCGAGGCTGTGTATATATATGTATATCTGGATATATGTGTAGAATATATTCACCTGCACATATGTGGATATACATGGATATGTGTGTATGTATATGCATATATACACACATACACACACATAATACTTTTCTCATACATGCCAGGGAATTTAGAGGAAATTCAGAACTTCAAGGGAGTGGATGGGAAAACCTAAAAAAAGGTCAGAAGAGATTTAATTATCAAACTTAAATAAATTAGCTCAGACAGTGTTTGATTTTGTTTTGAATGGTGGCTTTTTGGTGTTTTGTTTTGCTTTAAAAAAAATCATGATCTGACTAGAATCAGAAGGCGAATGCTTAATCATTGTGAATTAACAAATGAGACTCATCTCCATTCTAGCAAGCAGCTTCCACTTATACATGGGGGTGACTGGTTACATCAAGAAAGTTAGAACTGCAAAGCCCCCACTTGAGGGGACAACGTCATGCGTATATCAATCCATGCTGGCAGGTTTTTCACACTGTTGATTCAACAAACAGCAAACCGTACACAGCAGTCTAAACAATTACAACACCAAATAAAATAATAATAAAATTAAAAAACACTTGTCAAGGACCCTTTTTCAGTTGTAAACAAAAAGGTGCATTTTGCTTTTGTTAGTACTGTTTCTTCCAAACCAACCAAAAAAACCCTCCCGAGCCCCCAGTCCCCAGCCTCCCCTCCCCACATTTAATTTAGCAGAAGTGGTTACAATACAAACCTTACAATTGTTACCGGGCTCTCTTGCAGAGGCCTCTGGCTTTGTACTCTAGTTTTTTGGTTTAGAATTTTGTTTTTATCATTCTGTTACTGTAGATATTTTGTTTTTGTTTTTTGTTTTTGTTTTTTTTTTTTTCCCTTTGAAGTGAGATTGAAAATAGCCTAACTGGAAAGACCAGACCTAGGATAGTGTCAATTGAAAAAGGCCCCCAAATTTCTAGAAAAAAATAAAATCACAATATTTTCAAGTGCAAGTAAATCAACCACGCATAGATATTTTTAAGATGTTTTCCTTATTTTTAAGAAAAAAATAATGGTTTGCACAGGTAAATGATCCCATGTTTGATAATTCAGGAATTCATCTTTATTTTGACTATTTTTTGTTCTTTTGTTTTGTTTTTTTCTCTATGTGACATCTAGAGAAGCATAAAAAAACGCTGAACAAGAAAAACCAAACAACAGAAAGTAAAACCACTGCAAGCACCAAGAACAAAACGAAAATGAGCACAGCAAAAAAGATTGTGGCAGCACAAAAGTCAAGAAAATGCACGTGTGATCATGACTGGCCAATCATCAACTGATACAACATCCAAGAAAAACGCTCCAATCACAGCACCTCCACGAAACTTGACGGCAATTGTCATGCAACCGATTCTTAGCCTTGTTACATGACGCCATCATGTCACACTGTGAACTTTGAGTTGATTTGAACTTACGGATGGGGGACTTTTCTCCACTCTCATGTGATTACGTGAACTTTATTCCTAGCTCAGCGCGAGACTGTGGTGGATTTGACTGGCCCTGGTTGGGTTGTTGGAATTTGATTGAATGACAAAAGAAGAAAAGATTTATATATATATTTATATATGTAGAGAGAGAGAGAGAGAGGACAAGAGAGTGTGGGTGGGGGAAGGAAGAGGTGGGGCAGGGCAGGTGGGGTTGGGGAGTGTGGGAGGGCAGGGAGGGCTGGGATTCAGGTGAAGGAGGGCAAGGAAGAAGTTAAAACAAAATTAAAAAGAAAATATATTTATACAGCACCAGACCACAGCATCAATCTAGAAGCTCTGATGAGAGAACAGCAGTCAAATCATAAGAGAACTGAAAAGAACTCAAAGGATGGAGTAAGCCAGCAGACAAACATGGGCACATCAACACACACACGCACACACACACACACGCACACACATACACACATACACACACACGGTTGTTTATGCAGACACATGATACACTGTGAACAGAAGCAGAACCTCACACAGGGCCACTAAGGGCATCCATCATGCGTTGGGGAGGGGGGCATGGGCGGTTTGGCAAGGGGGCCAGAAAAAAATAAAACAGCCCCTCAAACCACCTTGGCCGGCAAGCAATCTCAGGGAGCAGGCGCTCTGGTTTTCATCACCCTTGATTCTTTCTCTCCCCTAGGGGTGGCGCTCCCCCCCTCCTCAGCTTTCTGTGACTGCAGCCTGTGGGCCAGCAGGGGATGTCTGTCAGGGTGGCCCTGGTCAGCTAGGTAGGTCAGAGGCTTGCTACAGTAACTGCTGTGTCCACGGGGTCCATCTACAAAATGCTTTGCTGCCGTAGTACCACCCAGGCTGGCAGCAGCTCGGCCCTCCCACCCTGTGCACCCACCCTGGCCACCATCCTAGAGAAGGCTACAAGGGCACCCACTGTGGAGGTTATGGCCCGCCCCCGCTTCAGCTCCACCTCAAACTACTTTCCTCAGAACCTGAGCAGGGTTCATTTTGAGATTTGGGGTAAAATTCATCAATGTTCTTGGAATTCTAGAAATATGCCTTGGCACTACTAAGTTCATCTTGCAATTGCCTTCCCCTCTTTCTTTGCTCACACTCTTTGCCTTGCTCCCAAGTGGCCTGTGTGGACAAACTGAGGCTGCATCTAGGCACATGAAGCCCTTCAAAGGTTCTGCAGCCCTGACCCATAAAAGGGCCACATGGGGGGGCTGGAGGATGCCCTGCAGGGGGCCACGTGCAAGGCTGGAGGGTCCCCTGCAGGGGGCACAGAGGTGAGCGCCTCCAGCCTCTGCTGCTCCCACTCTTGCTCTGCTGACTTCCCCTGCTCCCCACACCGTCCTCTTTTCCCACCCCCTCACCCCACACCCCTCCATGAACAGCTTTCCAGCCTGGCCCATTGCAAGGCCCCAACCTTCTGCTTTCTTTCCTGGTGGAGCCCTAAGTGGTTGAGAATGAGCTTTCTTCCCTATCGGGAATCATCAGATGATTCAACTTTCAGTTGACTTCTCCACCCCCTCACCACTTCATAGTCCTCTGCCACACCTGGGATTTGGGGTCCCTAGCTCCACGCCTCCCCATAGTTATCTTGAGCTTGCACTGGATGCCCTGCTCCCCTGTGGCACTCAGGCCTGGGCCAAGGCCTGTGCGCCAGGTTGATCTGCAGGCTTTCAAGGCCACAGGCTTCTACATACAGCGGACTGAATCACTCTCACCTTTATGATTTCCTTCAGGAAGGGAGGAAGGGAGGCCTGGGATCTTAAAATGTCACTGTGGATGAGGGGCAAAGTAGCTGAGCCCAAGCCTGGCCTCCAGCTCCACCTTCACAGACGCACCCCAGACCCCTCCTCTGCAGACCCAAGCCTGCCTGCCCACGAGGGCTGGGTTCTTTGTTCTTCCAGCATTGGATCTCCTTCCCCCAGATCAGGGACCGTCCCATGCCCACCAAGTCCTGAAATGCCACTTCCAACTCCTCCCAAAAGCCCTTAGACCCACCCAGGATGGCCAATGGGCAGGTCCCATTGGCATGGGAGAAGAGGCCTAAGGAACTAAGGAGGGTATTGCCATCAGATGGGAGCTGTGGCAACTGCAACTCAAGGACTCCCTGGGACTCTCCTCTTTCCCCCTCCATTCCAGCCCTGAGCCCCTCATGGGCATTCACTCCTTCCCACTCTGCCTACTCTTCTCCCAGTTTTAGAGTACAGCTGCCTGTCAGGGCCAGGCACTGTCCTGTGTACTGCAACACAAACCTGAATAGCACATAGCCCCTGTCCCTAAAGCTCAATCTAGGAAACTTCCTCACACACACCCTCATCTCTCACACATGCATGGCCCTAGACACATAATACACCCTCACACTCAGTCCCTGAGGAGCCCCCAAGACTCCACAGGCTCAGGCTCAGCTGGCTACTCTCTTCATTAGGATGCATCTCCTCTTCTGCCTATAGGGTGACCCCTTCCCGGCCACTCTCGGAGTGGAGGCTCACAGAGGCTCACAGCCCTAGATGTGGCAATGGGATCACTGACCAGCATGGTGAAGCCCAACTCACCAAGCTGGGTGAGGAAATTATGGCGAGGCTGAACCAATTCAGGTCTCAGGTCCTAAAATGAGCTGGACTCAAGCAAAGGAGGGCCAGGCCCAAAGCCACAGCCCAGCCCTATATAGGTCAGACTCAAGCCTGGACCCGACCCTCCCCAAAAGCATACTCCAAGCCAGAGTCACAGGACTCACTGGGGTCAGGACAAGACGCTTGGTGCACTCTCCAGCCATAGAACTGGAGTGCTAGGAGTCTGAGAATCTGGCCTGCTGCTGGGGCCCAGTGTGTCTGGTAAGCGGTGGCAGAACAAGGGGCTCAGAGGCCAATCTCTGAGCTGGGCGGGGCCAGGCTGGGTGTGTTCTGCCCGCTGGCTGTGGACCTGGCCACAGGCATGTTTTTGCCTACTCTTCCTGCCTTTGCTTCCTTCCTTATTTAGTTTCCTGGCAAAGATTGCTTAGAGAAACTCCCCTCTTAGCACAAGCCGCCAGACGGGTAGGGCAGTGGGGAAGCAGAAATCCAGCTAGGAAGGAGAGTCACTGACTCCAACCCTGATCCCACCCCACCCAGGACCTTGCTTCATGGAACCAAAGCCCAACTGTACTCCCCACAGCTGCCCTGCCTGGGCCCCTCTCCTTCCCCCAGGTCTGCCCCACTCCCTTCTGACTTGGCCTTAGAAAACCTGTACCACCATGGGGCAGCTGCCCTAGCCCTGAGGTCCCCCTTCCACCTCCCACTTTGCTCCCAGCTATGGCTGGTCCCTCAGCCCCTGCTCAGGCTTCCTGCCCTTCTGAGCAACCCTGGGGCTGCAGCTCAGGACTCAGCACGAATGAATACCCTTTACTGGCCTGTGATAAGCAGCCAGTATTTTAGCTGCTGTTTTGTGCCTTTTCCTCCCTCGCTGGCAGTCCAAGGGCAGCTACTTCTCACTGCAGTCCCCAAGGCTGCCTTGAGAAGCTCCCTATCTCTTCTTAGCACCCTCCTTCTATTAGAACTTCCAACAGTCTTGGGCTGGGAAGCCTGACAGCACCATTTGCTAAAATGCTGTCTAAATGAAAATTAAATGTCAACTTTACTGTAGGAGTTATGTCACATCGTAGTTTTTTTACAGGACTGCTTAGTAGAAAGGAGGTGGTTAGATGGCTGACCCCAGAAAAGTGAGGTGTCATACGTGTTCCCTCAGGACATTCAGGATACTCTGGGGTGATGGGTTGGGGTGAGGGTAGGGTGGGGCTTCTCATCCTCACTCGAAGGGAGGTAGGCTCCCTGGCTTCAAAGCTTGGCTCTGCGACTCACTAGCTGATGGGCAAGCTACTTAATCTCTCTGTTCCCCATACGTGAAATGGAAATACACTACCTACCTTATAGGTAGTTGTAGCTATGTAGTTACGTCTCCTAGTTGTTACCTCTCAGCAGTGCCTGGTGCGTGGTAAGCACTGTGTGAAGGTCTAGGGTTCTAATCTTTCTGCCCTTTGCATGCCCTGGTGGAAGAACCCACTCTGTGTTTTAAACCACTCCTCCCAAGCCCCATCCCCAACTCTGAATGCCAGCTGGTTCAACCCTGTGGGCACTTCTGACTTTATATCCCAAACAATAAACCTGCCTTCTCACTCCTTCGTCTGGGAATTCCTCTAACCTGGAGGTTTTACCCTGGCTTGAGCCAAGGAGCCTAAGACAAGCGACTTTCAGGGTTGCCCCTTGGAATCTCAGGGCATGACCTGGCCTGATTCATATCCCCCTACCCCCAAATCCTCTAGTTGACTCTAACACCTTAGTTTCATTAATGAGAAAAAAGAAGTCCAAAGAGGACAAGCACCCTAACCCAGGTCACACCTTAATGGCAGAGCTATGCTGATTTAAGAAAAAGTGTTTTACATATAGAAAAAGCAGCTTTCTTGAAACCGTCCCTCCATTCTTATGGAAATGCCCCCATCTGCAGGCTGCCTCCTGGTGTCCCTGTGTGCACAGAGCCAGAAGCTCCTTGAGGGCAGGGATGGTGACTCATTCATCCTTGCATCCCCAGCACTGAGCCCAGTGCCTGGCACAAGAAGGTGCCCCAACTCTGAATAACATGTGTGTTTGCATCTGGACACAAGCCAGAAATGGGCAAGGATGGGAAACCAGGAGGCAGGAAAGACTGGTTTTGCTTTTCCAGGATTGCAGAGAGTGGCGGCACAAGCACTCCCCCAGAGAGAAGGCCCCTGCTCTCAGAGGGTGAAAGTTGCTACTTCTGGGCGGAGGAAGGGTGTTCTGCTGGTGTCCGTACCCCAGCACTGGGTGGAAGATTTGAGGGGAGACTGAGAAGCTGGAGACCTCCCTCCCAAACTCTGGACTCTGAAACTCAGCTTAAATGTGTAATTCTCACATGCCTGATCTTTCTCCCAATCTCTGTTCTTCCAGTGACTTGGGCCAAAAGCCTGGGACTCATCCTTGGCTCCTCTTTCAAAATACATCTAGAAATTAATTCCTTCACATCTCATCAACTGCTGTGATGCTGGACTGAGTGGTCAGTGCAGTAGATCTATGCTTTGGCCCCCTACAAGCTATTATCAACATAACAGCCAGGGTGACCCCACTGAAATTCAAGTTACCCGTCACTCTTCTGTTCAGAACTCTCCAATGCTCTCTCCATCTCCCAATTCAGAGAAGAGACCAAAGTCCACATAGTGACCTTCAAGGCCCCACACCAGGTGGCCCTCCTCACTCTCTCAGCAACCCAGTCTCCTGCTGTTCCTACCCCACTTTGCAGCCCCACCTTGCAGCCTCCATGCTGACTGTTCCCTCAGAGGCAGGGGCATGGCTGCTCCCCTCACCTTCTATGCTCCAATTCACTTCCTCAATGAGGTCTACACTGTCCATGTGGTTTAATTGTAGCCAACAATCTTGACATACTAGATCATATTCTTTGATCACATGTCATTGTTTATTGTCTGTCTCCACCTTCTCAGTCTTGCTCACTGCTGAATCCCAAGTACCTAACACAATAGCTGGCACACAATACTGCTGAATAAATGGAGGAACATGGGTGGGGAGGGGCGGTCAGAGGGCAGCAGGGTGCTGAGCTGGAATGGCCTGAAGGGAGCCTTCACCTCTGCTCTGTGAAGAAGCCGAGGCTGCAAGAGCCACAGCAATGGGGGTAACCAGACTGAAGGTTGACTTTTGATGTCCTGGGGTATCTCCCCCCATTCTTTCTACCTGGGGTATCTCCCCCCATTCTTTCTGCAAGAAGCACTTTGCTCAGGGGAACACTTGGGCTGGAAGAGGCGTGGCTGACTGCGTCTTCAGCTCCTAGGCAGGACCCAGCCCAGCAGAAAAGGTAACAACTACCACTCATCAAGACCCATGTGGGGCAGGCAGGCCCGGGATCTCAGTGCTGTACCATCACCTTCCTCAGCTGTCCTCCCATCCTGCTTTGTTTCTCAGTCAAGTTCCCTTTGAAAGATCCTGTCCTTCCTCTCTTCACTGAGCTATGGGGAAAGGGAGGGGTGCAGGGGTCAAGTGTCTAAAGACTATCAGCCCTCCTGGAAGAACTGGGGAGGAGAGAGCTGGGGGTCAGGGAGCAGGCCCCGCGGGCGGCTGCAGCTCTCCTGGGTAGAGCCTGTTCTGCCCCCAACCTCTCTCAGCCTGAGCTTGCCACCTGTTTACCCAGGGTTCTCTGGCCAACAGGACTGCCAATGTAGACCCGGAGGCGCAGGCCCAGGCCTCGCCTCACCCGCCCGGAGTGGCTCCCTCACTCCTGCCCCTGGTGGCCCTGCCACAGGGAGATGGCCAGGCCCATTTCTGCCGGGGTGACGGCAGCTCTGCGCCTGGCCGGAGGCGCAGGACGAGGAGCAGGTTGAGCCGGGCGCAGCGGGTCCAAGGCACCAGTGAGGGTCCGGCCCACGGAGGCCGGAGAAGGCGGCGGGTCCGTCTGGTTCCCTCCCAACCCCCGTCCCCGCGCCCCGGCCGCCCCCGGTTACCTGTGCGAGTCCTGGTCTCCCCCGGGGGACGCTCCCGCCGGCGCTCAGTACGGGCGATTGGCGTCTTTGGGCCGCTTCAGCTGCACCTTGAGCCTCTTCATGCCGATCTGGAAGCCGTTCATGGCCTGGATGGCAGTCTGCGCGCTGGCCGGGTTGTCGAAGCTCACGAAGCCTGGCGAGACACGAGGGACGAGGGCCTGGGTTTCCACGGGGCCGCCCGGGGCGCTGCCGGCGGGGAGGGGTGGGGGGACAGGGGGGCGGGGCGGGGCGGGCCTGAGGCTCCTCCCCTTGGTCCCCGCCCCCGGCCCCGCCCCGGTGCCCGCCCCCCTCCAGCCCGCGCACGCGTGCGAGGCTCCTCCCCGGGCAGGCGCTGGCGGGGCCCCGGCTCGCTGACCTGCGCCTCGTCTCTGGCCGCGCCACTCGCCCGGCGCCCGCTCCCCAGGTGGGGCCCGCGGCCGGGCGGCGCTCGAAGAGGCGCCCGCCCCCCACCCCCGCCGGCCCCGGCACCTCAGCCCTCGCCTTAGCGGGAGAGGGCGGACACACCTGCGGGTGGAGGAGTTTATTGGACACTGTCCTCCCTGACAGGAGGGGGCCTGGCAGCGCGCGGGCACAGGGTGCCGGCCTGGGGAGAGAGACGAGTGCGAGGGGCCGGGAGGGAGGCGCCGCCGAGAAACTTCACCGCCGGCCCGGCCGCCCCCCTCGCCAGCGCAGGTGCCCGGCCGTCGGGGGAGGCCCAGAGGCTGAGCTCTCGCAGCCCCTCCGCCCCCACTCCCGGCTCTGCCCGCCCCGCCAGGCTCCGGGTGGGCCCTAGGCGTCACCTCGCCCAGGGCGCCGTCGGCACCTCTCTTCTCCACGCCCTGTGCTGTGCACTAAGCACGCACCAGCTGACATGTCCGCAACAAGTAACAAGACCATCAGTGCAAATCAGGCCGCAGGCCTCCGTGCAGAAGCGCTTCCCACGCGTTCGCTCCTGTGCCCACATGGGATGCACAATCTTGCGGCTCCCAGGCCCAACCGCGCAGGTCCCAGATGGGCACGGGTCATGTTCCCAAAAGGTCAGAAGTCACCTTTGGGGAACTCGGAATGCATCTCCTTATACAGACAACATTTTACATCAGCATTTCCCAAACTGGCCCTAATAGGTGCTCCTCGAGAAAGGTCTTGTGTGGTCAGGAGATTTGTAGCCAGGCCCACTGGGCCAGTCCAGCATATCAACAAATAACGTCCCCTCCCTCACCGAGATGTAGTAAATTAACTTTTATAGTTTTGTTTAATCTAGTATTTCCTTGAATTTATTCGACTTTAGAGGCCTTTTCTCCTGTAAAAAGGACTTAGATCCTGCAAAATATATGAAAGCTTGGCGAGATACCGAGGCCTTCCCATGAACGTGCCCGTTGTGTACTGGTCCCCAAATGGCCATTAGGTATAAGCCAGATGCACAGCCCCCCCGGAGTGAAGTAGAAGCCGTCTTCTCAGTTAACTGTTCGTGGTACCTCGGGGCTGCCTTGGGACTTCTCTCCAAGAAAGAGAGCCCTTCCTCACTTTCCCTACCTGGTGGCTCTTTTTCCCTCTTTCCCTCTGCCCCAGATGCTGCCTCCATCGTCTCTTACTTTCTCTCCTCTCCTTCCTGCCTTGCTCAAGTTTGCTCTGCAGCCGAACAAGCACAACAATTGGTCAGCTGGGTCCAGAGCAACAAAACCAACCTCTGTATAAATACAGATACCAGAATAAATAGGGAGAATTTCAGCTGATCCATAGTCGGAGATTCGCCTCCAGCCATGTTTCCACCAGCTCCCCCTCAGCCCCTCCTGGCCTGTCCCCACCTCCACTGACCTGTATGTCTAATCCCTAAAGTCAAGTCCTTAGTAAACTGGAGCAGTTTTCAAATATGTGAATTGTGTGTTGATACTGCTTTCCCCAGAATAAGGAAGGTGGCTGGACAAAAGCTGTCCCTGCCAGGACAAGGTAGCCTGACTATGGGGGACATGCTGCCCCTCATTCCTCTTATCATCCACCTCAGCTCAAAGGAGGGAGGGGAAAGAAGATAAAAAGGGCTGGAGGAGCTGTCTAGGGCACAGGTGTAGAGGCAGGCAGAACCACTGTGTGCGGGGAGCAGAGAGGAAGTTCTGGAGAAGGGCAGAAGCCCAGCCTTCCGGTAAGAGTTCAGAGCTCCCCGGAAGCCCAAGAGTTGAGGAGGAGTCCAGGGTCCAGGGAACTTTTCTTCCTTTGAACTGTTATTAACTGGCTAGCAGTCAGAGCAGGGTCTCTCCCCTGCAGACTGGAGGCCCCTGTGGCAGGGCTCTGGGCACTGTCACCCAAGTTCATGCTTCTAGGACCATCTTCCTTCTTCCAGAGCTACCTCTCCTGCCCTCTTCCTACCCTCAGAAGGTTTCTTCTCCCAGGCCCTGTGGGAAGACCCGCAGGTAGAATCCCCCCATGGTATCCCCCCAGCCCTCCTTCTGACATAGGAACTTTTCTGCTTGACATGCCCTCATGAAGGTCTCTGGAAGATTCTGCTCATAAATTTACATGTATGCTTATAAAGAGTGAATGTGGCCTTCGAGGAGTTCTCTTTAACATAGCGCCACTTTCACAGCAAAAATAGCACTTTAAGAACAAAGGGGACCTAGCACTTTCTGAGAGTCTGCCCTGGGTAAGCTCCCTAACAGCATCCCTGGGGCAATGATTCAAATCCCCTTTTTACAGAGGAAGCCAGTGAGGCTCACAGGGCTAAATGACTTGCCCATGAGGGAATGCTGAAGTTAGGTCTCACTTTATTTTATTTTTGTTTATGTATTTATTTTGTTATTTATTTTTGAGACGGAGTATTGCTGTGTCACTAGGTTGGAGTGCAGTGGTGTGATCTCGGCTCACTGTAACCTCCCTTCCTGAGTTCAAGCAATTCTCCTGCCTCCACCTCCCGAGTAGGTGGGACTTCAGGCGCCCGCCATCATGCCCAGCTAATTTTTGTATTTTTAGTAGAGATGGAGTTTCACCATGTTGGCCAGGCTGGTTTCGAACTCCTGTCCTCAAGTGATCTGCCCGCCTCGGCCTCCCAAAGTGCTGGTATTATAGGCATGAGCCACTGCGCCCAGCCTAGGTCTCACTTTAAAGGCCTCTGTGATATTGGCAGAAAGCTCAGCTGCCTGGTGAGAGAGAGAACCCAAGTGGCTTAACCAGGAACAGCTGGGCTGGACCAGCAGCTCAGGAGTCTATCCTTTTTTCAGGGCTGGTATGCTTGACATCAGAAATTTGTTCAAGAGAGGAGAGCTAGATTAGAGGTATACAAGGAATGTTTCTTTAAAAAGCAGGAAGAAAAAAATGTAGTCCTGGCTAATTTAAGTGGGCTAACAGCTTGAAGAGGATAGTGCTTAGAGTAGACTGCGAGGAAATGCCTTTGGAAAGCCGGGCTGCACCCACACCCGGGACAGTGCAAATGAGCCAAGTCTGGCTATGGCTGGAGACTAAACCTGTTCCAGCAGAGGCGCCCAGAGCTTCCTGGGCTCTCAGCAGTGCTCTTCTCATTTATGTAACATTTGGGACTTACTTAAAGAGCAGATGCAACTGATTTCCAGCTTGTTGTTTTTACATACATAACTGTAATTCATAAGGAGAAATACCAAAGAGTGGAGGCCCGCAACCCTGTCTTTTGCTTTGGCTTTGTTTTTCCACACCCAGAGAGAAATGAGCTGCTGGGGCAACTCCATGCCATTGAAAGACCACAAGTTCCCTGTGGCAGCTCCAGAGGGGAAGGGACAATGGTGCAAAGATCTTGACTACTTTGGGGAACGTGTTCTGAATCCTCAAGCCTTTCATGATTCCAGAAAGTTGGACTCCAGAGTGGAAACTCCTTAGCCTGTGCTTCCTGATGCTGCACTCCTGTCTCCTCTCCCCTCCACCACCCCCAGGCTGTGACCTGGGTTCCCTGGCAACACAGCCTCCTACTCTCTCCTCCCAGCCCCAGAATCTGGGGGTCAGCCTGGAGATACTGAGTTTCTGGCAGACTCAGCTCTGGTTCCATATGTGGCTCTCTGGGGACTGGACTATTCAGTCCTCATGACTTATGAAAGGGTCTGGCCCAGAAGGAAGGGCTGATGGAGAAGGATGAGGAGGTCGGAGGGCAACAAGGAGGAGTGGAGGAGAGAGGGTGAAATGAAATTCCAGGAGGAGGTCTGACACTTCCTAGATAGGGTTCCCAGACTTAGCAAATAAAAACACGGGATGCCAGTTACATTTAAGCTTCAGATCAACAATAAATACTTTTTTACTGTAAGTACATACTTATACTAAAAATGGATACTTTGTCTATCCGAAATTCAAATTTAACTGGCCATCCTATATTTTATCCGACAGCCATACTTCTGGATGCTTCCAAGTTTTCCCTCTCCCATCTAACGGCATGCCCTGGGCACATTTCCGGCAAACTGTATTTTTATTACTCTCAGCTCAAGGATCTCCGACCGTTTCCACTGCCTACTACACCCCACAAAGCATCCCCATCTGCGTAGTGGAAACCCCCCAGCACAGACAGCACACCCCCGTGCCTGGTCTCCCTCTCACTGTCCTCTGGCTCCTCTCACCCCAGCCCCATGCCTTCCTCATCCAATTCTCCCCACCTGGAGTTCCCTCCCTTTCTTTTTGTGTATTTATATCCATCTGCCTTTCTTGTCGCTTCATTATTAGGTGCCTCGCAGATTTCACTGCTGTAAACATAATTTTCATCTAAGCTCAGTGCTTAGGCTTCCTGAGGGCAGGGACCAGTCTCCTCTTCCTGACTCCTCAACAATACCCACCTCTGGTGGCCTGAGGCAGGTGAGTGGGGAGGGCAGGAGGGGAGCAAAAAGCAGGGTAGACAGAGAAGGAGTTGGGGCAGGACAGAAAGCTGGAGAGAGGAGGCCAAGGGGCGGGCAGGAGAGGGGCCTGGCTAGGTGATTGCCCTGTCCAGGTGTCACACTCTGCTTTAGCCTCGGGGCTCAGGCCAGGCCACTCTCACCATGAGAGGAGAGGGGCTACTGGGGGAATGGGTGTGGCTGGGCTCTGCCTGCTGCCCCTCCTACCGCTGCTCAAAGCGGCCCCTTTCCCTTCTCAGTCGGTTGGAATTTGGCTGGAAGAGGAAACCCATTTCTTGGACTGGGAGTGGGAGATGGGGAGCCAGGTGGGGTGGGTAGGGAAAGCCAAGAAGCAAAAGGAGTAGTGGGAGAGAGAAGGGTGAGATGAGGCTGGCAAGGGCCATGGAGCAGCTGGGGCGGGGGCAATGTGAAGGAGCAGGTTAAAAGCAGTCGGACACCAGTAGGTTGGTGTGAGCACCGCCCTGTCCTAGGTGAAGCTAATTGGTTTGTTATCTTTACCCACCAAAGCATTTACTTTGGTTAGTCGCCCGATCCACAAACACTTTCGAGGAGATGACATTACCGAAAGGGAGGAACATCTGCATCAGCTCAGCGTCCCCAAACTCCTGGGGCAGATGGTAGATGAACAGGTTACAGCCCTCGGGCCCTGCGGTGAGGGGAGGGGGTGGGCGGGGGAGGAGGGATGGCGGGGTGGGGGAAGAGAGAGACAGAGGAGAGGTGAGCGAGTTAGGCAGCACAGCAGGGAGGGGTGGGGGCAAGGTTAGGAGGGGGGGTCTCATTCCAGATCCAAGGGAGCCCCAGAAGAGGCAGGGATGCTGAGCCCCACGTCTGAGCTCCGGTCTCTGCTCTGCCCTTGGGCAAGTCACTGAACCTCTCTGTGCCTTGGTTGCCTTTTCTATAAAATGGATCTGTAGCAGAGTCTTGGAAACCCTAGGGCTCCAGGGGCGGAGTCAACCTACTGCTGTGTCTCTGGAAACCAGGTGCTGAGGATAGGGAAGGCCCGGGAGATCCGGGAGGTCTCCCTCCTGCCCAGTCCCTGCTCTGGGGGGGACCAGGATATCCCCTGGGGCAGCTGTGTCCTGTGCTGGGGGGACACCCCACTTTCCCCTCTCGCAGGCCAAGCTCAGACTCTAGGACTTGGGTGCCCATCCTCCCCCTGGCCTGCAGCCTCTCCTTCTCATCTGCCCCTCATGGCCCAACTGTCCTGCCCAGTTCCTCACACCCAGGAAACCAAGATTTATCCTGCCTCCTCCTGTATAGGTGCGTAGGAAGGGCTGCAACCGAGGCTCTATGATTAGCCACGGAACCCTCCAGCCTCATGACATGAATGTTCTTCATTTCGTTACCACAGTAACAGCCCTGTGACTTCGGCAGCACAAACTATGTGTCAGGCTGTTCTGAGCACTTTACATGTACCTAACTCACTTAATCCTTACAGCAACCCTGTGATGTGATTATCATCATTGCCACTTCACAGATGAGGAAGTGAGGCCCAGAGAGGTTAAGTCACCTGCCAAAACACACACAGCTGGGAGGGGCCTGGAGCCAGGACATGAGCCCAGCCTCTCTGTCTCCATAGTGTGAGTTTTCTCCCTCTTGCGACCAAAAAATCTCAATACCCCAGACTCCCTGAACACTAAGCAGGGCTTTAGCTTTCTAAAATTCCCAATAACTATTTACCTGTTTCTTTTGAAATAGTCAAAACACTCAATTTTAACTCTTTGAAATGGAAATCGTTCCAAGATGTGTCTTAGATGGCATATGCCACTTATAATTTCATCTTTTAAAGTGACCTGTGGTCATTTCAATGATGGCATCCAAGCTGTGGTGGAATGGGAAGGAACCAGCTGCACCTAGCGTTGTGTAAGAAGCAAGGTTCTGAGCAGAGGCTGCTGGAAACCTAGGCGTGAGCTGAACAGTGAAGGCTGTAAGGCACCGACATGGGCTGCTGCATGGCTTTCGCAGCCAGAGCCAGCCGTCCTTGTTCTCCAGGAGCAGTGAGGCTGCCAGATAACCCAGTTCTGGAGCAAAGACTCGATGTAGAGACTCTGCACCTTCTCTTCTGCTCCTCTACCTTCCACTCTCCTCCTTTTTCCATCTATTTCTACTCCCTCGAGGTTCACAGCCTAGAACAAAAATGTCCCCAACCCCTAAAGCTGCCCAAGGAGCCACTGGCCTCCTCCCTCCTTGCTGCTCGCCCTGCACCCTCTGCCCACCCAGCCCTCCGGCCTCCCCTCCCTGGACTGCTGGCTCCCAGGCATCCTGCCAGGGGACGGCGCATTCAGAACCAGGCACAAATGTGCTCCCTCACCCCCTTCCAGGGGTTCCTGGTGCTGGATACCCCTGAGCTCTGGTGGCCCTCCCCTCACCCTGTCCCCTCCAACCATGCTGTCTTCCCACTGGTTCATGCCCTGTGAATGTGCCCTTGATGGCCCCCAGCTCCCCATACCCTCCCTCTCTGAAAGAACCTCTGGCCTCTCCCTGCTCGTGCCCGAACCCACACTCCATCCTCTGGGGTGGGGCTCTTTGTCCTTTATGTCTGGAGGTTTTTCTCTCCAACCAGACTGGCTGCTCCCAGGGGCATGCTCCTTCTTGCGTCCTCCTGCCCAGCCCCCTCCAACCCCGCACACACCTTCCTTCCTCCTCCCATCCTCACTCTTCCAGGCCCTGACTGCTCCATCCCAGGCTGACACCTGCCTTGACTTGGGGCCCTGGCTCTGAGTTCAAGTTCTGCAAGCTGCTTTATGTGGAAGTTACATCTGTTCTCCTTAGAGATAAGGAGACTTCACAGACAGGGCCCACAGGCTCAATCCCATGTGCACGGTGTGTGGTGGAGCCCCAGGGATGACCCTCTAGCCCAGGCCTGACAAAGAAGCCAGGGCAGCAGCTCCAGTCCCTTCCCCTGGACAGTGAGTCCACACGCTGTCTAACTCCAGCTACCTCCAAGCCCGTCTGCACTCCCTCATTCACAGATGACAGAACATGCAGATGGTAGAGCTGGCAGGACTTTAGAGACCAATCTGGTCCAGGCTAGCCTTCTGAGAAATAGTGAAGCGGAGCTGCAGAAAGAGAAAGCAGCTACCCCTGACCACCCTGCAGCCCTGGCAGAGCCACTGCGGCAGCCATCCCTGAGGGTAACCTCGTCCAGTCTGTGGGGCAGATAGCCTCTGGGGAATTCAGGCATCTGTCCATTTTCAGGCTTAGCTCAAAGACGAGGAGGTGGCAGAAGGGTCCTCCCCTGCCACCAGAATATCCTGATATTTCCATGACTTTCCTCATGGGGAGGGGATCATGACATAAAAAGGCCAACTCTTGGCAGGGTTGGAGGAACACAGCCTTGTTTCTTGTCCATGACTTGGACAACTTTGTGGGACACGGTTTTGGCCAGGCTCCAGCCCACCTTGCCCCTATCTCTCCCTGGCCCCATGCTCACCTTGGACTCTGCAGCAGTTGTACTTTTGCTCCTGCTGTTCCCCCTGCCTGGACCACCTGCCTCCCCAGTTCTATGTGCTGCCAACCTCTGCTCATCCTTCCAGACCCACAGAAGCCTTCCTGACAAACCACTCTCAGTGCCATGCCCTCACCCACCCGTGCTGTGCGGCTCTGTTGGTGTGTTCCTCTTCCCCATCCCTTGCTTCCCTGGGGTGGCTCAACCCATGCACCATGGCCTGGGAGAATAGGGACAATGGCAGCAGATCCCACCACTCCAAGGAGAGGCTGGAGACAGGATTGGCCACAGAGGGCCTAGATTAGGGAGCAGGGTATGGTGGGGCAGGAACTGCAGCTGCTCAGAGATGGAGAGAAGGAATGAGGAGTTCAGAGCTACACGCACAGGATGGTGCAGAGTGCAGGGTGGGAGAGGGGCAGGACGGCCCATGGGAGCCTGAGTTTAAGGCCTGCAGTAGGGGCTGTCATGTGTGTTGGGCAGGGTGGCGTTGACCTGTAGCTGTGTGAGGGGTGGGGCAGGATTCAGAGACCCCTGAGGCAACAGGCCAGAGTGATTCAGGGAGCTGACAATGGCCTGAAACCAGCGGGAGAAAAAATATCAGGGCCTGTGGGCACAGCTCTGTGTTCTGGACCTGGAGCGGTCGACATGGGGACTCCTGGATCCCACCCGTTGTGGCCCCGGTCTGACTGATGAAGGCTTGGACTGTGGGGAAGGCAAGGGCAGGGTAGGCCCAGGGTTGCAGCCCAATGAGGGGACCACCCCCACCCGCACTTCACCAGTGGTAGCCCAGTGTCCCTCAGCTGCAGCGGCGTGCGGCACGGTACAGACAGGGCCTTCCTGTGCACCTCTCCGGGTCCTGTAACTTGGCTCTCCTGGGCACGGGAAGCCCTGATGCCCCTGACCTCAGAAGTTGCCTGCCGGGTGTGAGCTGGGGCGGTATGCCTCATGCACAGCCTTGGAAGGGGTGGTAGCTTGGTAAAGAAAGGGCGGTGTGCACAGGCACTTGCAGAATGGAGTTTGGGGGCAGACTCAGCCGGCTTGGTCCTCACACCCCTCCACAGAACGCTCCCCGCTCTACTCACTTTGCTGTGAGGACACTGAGGCTGAGGGGATAGAGTGATTTGTTCAGAGTCACAGGGGAAGGAGGTGCCAGAGTCCCACCCAAAAGGGTTTTCTCTGAAGGCCAGGCTCTCAGCCAGGCAGGCTGTGGCGCCTGTTTGGGGTCTGAGGGACCTGTCTGGCACTGGGGCCTGTCAAATGATGTTGGACCAGCAGACGCTTGAGGCGCTTTCCAGGACTAATCTACGTCGGAGGGCTCCAGGGCACTGTGTGCAGGGGCTGTGAGTCAGGCTTTTGGAAGCCACCGGAAGGCTCTGACCACAGGGGCTGCCAGGGGCAGATTTGGTGCCTCACTACCCAGTGACCGTTTCCATAGGGGTAGAGAGGACGGGACCTTGTTAGTGTCCTGCCCCTCAAGCTGAGCTCTCTGTGCAGGCCCACAGAGCCCCAGAGGGTGGGCCTGTTCATCCAGCCTCCTGTCTTCCTGCTTATGTGGATCCCTAGGCACTGGGACGGGAAGACACAGACTGGCATTCTGTGGTCCCTGGCAACTGACCCAAAGATCTTGCTGTCCTGCCCTGTTCACACCAAGGCCTTTGGACACAGCTTTCCAGGATCACCCCCTTCTTTCACTAGGCCTGCACTAGGGCATTGTCATCTCTTCTCATCCTGCCCACGCAGTCCTGCCCTGGGAGCTCCACCTGCTTCTCCTGGTCACTCAGAGGGCACAGCTTCTGTGGGTAATGAACTCATCTCCCTCTCCCATTCCCCTCAGCCATGAGCCCTCCTACTTCTCTCCACCCTCACCACTGGCCAAATCCTGCCCACCAGAGGAGGGGGATTCTTGGACCCCACCTCCTCTGGGGCTTCCCTTCCTGACCCTCTCAGCCTGGTTACCATCTTTTCCTCAATGTGCGCAGCTATCAGAGCTGGTTCTGCAAACCACCATGTTGCTGGAGTCTCATCTCCCAGCTATGCTCCCTGGGAACACAGTGGTGGGTCCTCCAGTGAAAACCCCCAAGGATGGGCCTCTATCTCCTCTGGAAGATCAGAAACTCCCTGGGTCAGGGACAAGGCCTCCACTGGCACACACATGCCTAACCTCTGCTAGGTTCTGTTTAAGGGATGGTTCAAGGGCTTGCCAAGGAAGAAGCACAAACCCAACCATTCAGAAGCGGTTCTCATAAACCAAGGTTTCAATATGTGAGCTCTGTGTCAGGCCAGCAGCAATGATTGAGGGGAGTAGGAAAGGCGCTTTATGTGGGACCTGCCAGCACTCAGGGCATTCTGTTCAGGCCCCTGCCCTAGGCCGGACACCACTCTGGTGTACAGAGCTGCCCACAAGAAGTGGACCTCTACCCTTCAGTTGGAGAGCGCCACTCCTCACAGCCTTGCTGTCTTCCCTTGCCCACCTCAACACAGCACACAAACGTGGTCACCTTTCCAACACACACCCCAGCCCAAGGCCCAGGTGAGCAGCCTCTTTGGGGACAACTGGGGTAGGGAGGGGCCCAGGAGCTGGCCTGCAGACTCACCTTCTCTCTGCTGCTGGGGGATCATTGGAGGCGGCTGAGGAAAGGCCTGGCTTATCTGACCATAGGCAGCAGGGTAGGCGGCTGCTGGAGGCCCAAGACAAGAAGCAAGAGCCGGCGACAAGGCAGAGAGTGGAAGCAGGAAGAAAGAGAGAGATTTCAGTGCAGGCAGTAAAAGCAGATCAGCCAAAAAGCGCCCTGCCACTCGGCCACTTAGGACAAAGCCAGCTTTCAGTTCCCGGACTAACAGAGAAGTTGCAAGGTGAAGAGTGGAAATGCGTGTGTGGGTGTGTGTACGTATGTGTGCACATGTGTGTACATTACATGCATACATGCATGTACATGTGGGTATGTGTATGTGTGTGCCTGTGTGTTCATTACATGTGTACATGCGTGTGGGTGTACGTGTGTGTACATTACATGCATACATGCATGTGGGAGGGTGTATGTGTGTGTGAGTACGTTACATGCACACATGCATGTATGTGTTTGTACGTGTGTGTATGTTACAAGTGTGCACGCACGTGTGTCGGTGTGTGTATGTGTGTGTACATGTGTATGTGTGGGTGTGTGTGCACGTGTGTACATGGTGTTAGTGCACGTGTGCATACATTACATGCATACATGCATGCATGTATGTGTGTGCACGTGTGTGTGCATTACATGTGAACATACGTGTTTGTGTGTGTTTCAGGGGAGGCAAGTTGAATTTGAAATAGTGGATAAACCACATGTGTGCATAACACACAATCATGGATAATTAAAAACACCAAAATGGCCTGGGCAAGATCACCCCATGCCACCTGGAACCCACAGGAAGGTTGTCCCACTTCTCTGAGCCACAGCTGACTCCTGCTGGCAGGCCCTCCCTCCCACTCAAATGGCACCTGTGTGGGAGGTGGGCGGCCACCTGAGGTGTGGACTTGGCCTCTGGGAAGCCTGCCAGGGGGTAGTCCCCAGGAGCAGAGAACTGAGTTGGATAAACCTGATTGTCCAACTGGAAAGGGCCCGAGGTAGGACAGGAGTGGCCAGCTCCCTCCTCTGCCTGGCTTGGCTCCCATAGCAGCAGAGCCTGAAGTCAGAGCTCAGGGGACCCAGGAGGTGACAGCACCTCCTCTGGGCTCCAGATGTGCCAGGCCAGCTTCACCTCAGTTCCCTCACCCCTTGCCAGGCAGCCCCACTGCACTCATGGGAGACAGCACTGGCTCTTCTAAGCACAGGGAAGAGAGACCCTGATCAGGTCAGGCAGTAGGACACAGGCTAGGCAGGGACGATGATGGGGTGCTGTGTCGTCCAGGGGTGAGAGAAAGAGAGAAGCCTGGCTGACAGCTTGGCTTGCGCTCAGTGACCCCAGGCCCTCTGCTCACTCAAGGCTATCCCTTCCCACCTCTCTTCCTCTGCTCCCTGTCACACCTGCTGGGACCCCATCCTGCTGCCTGTGTGTGAGGAAGGGGATGGGGAAACAGCATCTCTTCTAGAGGCCCTCCTTCTCTCAAATCAGGCATCTGTGCTTCCCGGGCCAGTGACTGTGACCCGTGGTGGGCACACCCAGATCCAGCCTCACCTGTGGTGCTATTGTCAAACCTGGTGCTCCTGGGCAAACCGGCCCTGGAAACTCCTTGGGGAAGGGAAATCTGGCCTCAAAGATAAGTAACTGCCCAGCAAGGGCAAAACTTCCACCTGGCCTGGCCACTCGCCTGAAGTTCTGCCCATCCCCACTGCAGGAGCACTCTAGGTGGCCCGCTGACAAGAAGGCAGCCTGGAGGATCTCTGGCAGCACAGCCCTCCCTCTTTCCACTCTCTCTCCCCACCCCATGCAGTGCTGGCCCCAGGTCTGAGGGGGCACTGGTGTCACAGGCGTAGAGAGATAAACGGAGTTGGGGAAGGAGCCGTGGGGACGCGTGGATACTAACGACCTGCATACTGCTGCACTCCGGCGTAGGCCTGCTGCAGGGGGTCCGCGGCGGTGGGGCTCTGCGCTGTAGGGAGCCAAGGGGACAGAGGTCAGCAGTGCCCACCACACTGGCCCTTCCCCCTATGCCCATGAGGACAATGATGTAGCTGCACCGCCTTTTCTGGCTAGTGCAGGCTCTGCCCTGGGGCATGGCATCTGAGACAGAAACCCTGAGTGCCTGGACCCTCTGGGGGTCACCTTCCCTAGCTCAGCATCCTTGGCAGGGTAGACAGTTGCCCACCCTGGCTGGGGGATGCAGGCTGCAGTTGGCCTAGGGTTGGGGTAAGATGGGGGCTCATGCAGAGCACTGTGGAGGGTTGGGGAGGAGATGCCAAGGAAGCCTCAACACTGAGATGCTGGCTGGGGGGACATACAAGGGGCCCAGCCCTGCATAAGGGCTGTGGGGAAAGGGAGAGGGGGCTGGCAGCCCCTAAAGGGTGAAAGAAAGGGTAAGAAGGCCTCACACTACCGCTTTGTCCTCCTGGGCCACTGTGCCTGCTCACAAAGAGGGACCCGCCCTCACTGTCAGGGAAGCTGCACCAGGCATGGAGGGCTTCCACCCCTAGCCCATGGCCAAGCTCCTCTCAGCAGGGACCAGCTACGCAAATGGGGTCTTCCCAGCAGACTGAGAGAGGGGTGCTGCCCACAGAACCGAGGAACCAGAAGACCAAGGACCTTCCTCCTGTCTTCCAACACTGTGACCCTGGGATGTCTCCCGCTCAGTGGGAAGAGAGGTCCCCTGAACCAATACTTTGGCAAGAAACTCAGGGAAGCTGGGCTGAGGGAAAGGCCTGGTTCCCTTCTGTTGCCTTTGCTGTCTCTGCAGAAGCTGTGGGCAAAGGCCTGAAGCATGGGCCAGCAGTAGGCACTGGTTTTGGTGACCAAGGCTGGTAGTGACTAATGTGGGAGTGGGCTGGCCTTGGAAGCCCAGAGACATGGTAGAGGCAGGGACTGCCCAGAGGGAGGATGGAGCCCTAGGATGCTTGAGGGAAAACCAGATAACATGCAGTGGCAGGAAGAAACTAGCTGGGCTTATCCACCTGTCAACTCAGGCCAGCTAAGCTAACTGGCTATGCCAGGCTTTGGGATCTTTAGGAAGAGTGCCCCAACTTCCCTTCAAAGCATGTTTCCCTGAGTATCTCAGTAAACCTCCATTAGAAAAAGAGCACCTGGGCTGGGCACAGTGGCTCATGCCTGTAATCCCAACACTTTGGGAGGCCGAGGTGGGTGGATCACCTGAGGTCAGGAGTTTGAGACAAGCCTGGCCAACATAGTGAAACCCTGTCTCTACTAAAAATACAAAAAAATTAGCGGGCATGGTGGTGGGCGCCAGTAATCCCAGCTACTCAGGAGACTGAGGCAGGAGGATCGCTTGAACCTGGGAAGTGGAGGTTGCCGTGAACTGAGATCATGCCATTGCACTCCAGTCTGGGCAACAAAAGCAAAACTCCGTCTCAATAAAAAGAAAAGAAAGAAAGAAAGAAAAAGAGCACCTGGGCCTGAAGGGTGTCCAGGGAAAAGCCTGGGGCAGAGGTCCCTAGAGACAACTGGACAGTAGGTTCCATAGCCCCCAGGAGCAGGATGTGGCAGGGCAGTCCGACCCACGAGGGCTCTGCTCAGATGTGGGGAGCTGAAGATTAGCCACAATGCAGCCTCCTTCCTGCCTGGGGATGTCCCAGTCCCACACCCTGTTCCTCTATTTCCCCCATGGTAGAGGCTGGAACTGAGGGCTCCTCAGTGGGGTGTGCTTGGCAGGGTGGTCTCCTCTCTGCCCCTATCCTCTGCCAGCCTCTAAGCTCTATGGAGAGAGAACCATGTCCAGATTGTGCTCTTGGTCTTTCCAGCTATTCACCCATGCAGTGTGTTTGTGCAAATTAGAAAAGGGTGCCCCCTCCTCTGGGCACACAGCTTGGTGCCCTTATGCAATATATAACCTGCACGATTTGCATGGCAGTCTCCAGCACAGTGCCAGGAACATCATAAGCATCTGGCAAATAGTATCATGAAAAGAATGAATGGACAATCTTTAATGTTTGCAAGAGCCACCCCTTCAAGGGTGTTTATGTGACAGTAAAGGCCACACTGTGTGCATCCAGCAAGAACCCAAGAGGGGAGATCAGAAAAGCTACCTGGGGCTAGGAAGCAGAGAAAAGCATTTATGAGACCCTCTCTAGTTCTCTGACTAACGACCTCATTAGTAACTGCCAAAGAGTGAACATTTTGAAGGATCTCGCTCATTACAGTGGGTCCAAACTCTGCATTTAAAGATGGTAAATTAATTTTTTTAATGTACTACTTTTTTCCTTTCTTTCCCTCCATCCCTCCCTCCCTCTTGCTCTGGCAGGGAATTGTTTATGAGATGTGGCAGATTGTTACAAATGGGGGAAGAAACGTTTCCAAATTCCATGAGGGAAATAGCTCACAGATGCTGGAGGGGGTTGGGAAGGAGCAGGTTTATCAGGATCCAGAGATCCAGATGGGCTTGTGGGCAGGAAGGGGTGGGAAACGAAGACACCCAGATGTGCTGGGGATGCCACCTCCCAGCCCATGAGCCTGAAACTGGTGGGGTCTCTTCCACCCCCAGCTTGCCCAGCTCCATCCTGCCTCCCTACCAGCTTGGGGTCATCATCTTTAAACAACACTCCAGATCGTTAGAGCCTCATCACTTCACTCTCTAGACTCCTCTGGCCTCTTCTTGGTGCACTGAGGAGTAGATTATGGGGCAAACTCTGGAATGGGGAATGGGATCAAGGACAACTCCAAGTTCAAAGTCAGGAAATTCTCCTCTATTTCCCTCTAGTACACTGACCTTGCACTCTGCTGCTGGTGGGACTTGTATATACTACAAATGCCTGGTCTGCACTCCAGATAGGGAAGCCAGAATGTCTGGGCTTATGTGGTTATATAAAGCCCCACAGTGGATTCTGATGGGCACCGAGAATGGGGAACAGGACCCAGCCTCTGCTGTCAATCCACCTTGGGCTGGCCTGCCTGCCCTGTGTACCAATCTCCTTACCACCTCCACTCTTGCCAGGCAGGTCCCTCCACAGGAGGGTGTTCCCTGTTCATCTTCACCTCTCCAATTCCTGCCCATCTGTTAAAGCTCGATGATAGCTTCCTCCTTGGGGAGGCTCTTTTGGGCTTATTCAGCCTACAGAACTCTCCATTCATTGGGATCTTTAGCATTTCAAGTCTGAGAACACTCACTCTTGATCAAACTTAATTCTGCCTTATTGTCTCATCTTTCTGCAGACTTAGATTGTGTTCCCAATGGACTCTGACTTCCCAGGTGATAGGTCCATGTCCTGCCCTCCTTCTTGGGCCCCCCTTTCCAAGCACAAACTGAGTACTTACTGATACTTACGGGGACTCTAACCTCATCCTCTACCTTCCAGGAAGTAGGGCAGCACTCTCCACATCTGGAGCATGTTGCCCTTGTAGTCTACTACAGGGCTTTGGGCCCAGCTTCCCTGCCCTGATAGCAGCCCATTCTCCACACTAGGGAGAAGAGCTGCTTCAGGTAAACTGGACACTCTCACCCTGTGAGGACGGCTAAGTTTGAGGAACAAAGTTAATCAGGAACAGGCCTCCTGGATCTTTCTGTGTGGCAGACTTTTTGGTAAGAGTCTAGGAGCTGTCCAAGGTGCTGGGCTGTCTGTGGTGCTGAGCTGTCCAGGGTGCTAATCGCGCTTTTGCGTGCAGCAAGGGATTCGACTGGTCTGTACTAGACAGACTGCCAATCGTTGTACCTCCCTCCACTCCTTCCCAAAAAGTATTTTCCTACTTAACACTACCCCTGATTGTTCTTCTAGTTTCTATCCCCTTACTTCTTGTAGGTTAAATTGACACTCAATTATTTTGCACTTACTGGTCTCTCTACATGGTTGTACAACTGCACCCAGTCTCCTTTCTTTCCTAAGGGAGCATCTGGAATGGGATTCTGTCTCCCAGATCAGAATGACACATCTCCAAGGGTAGGATTTGGGTCTCATTTCTTCCATCACAGGTTCCCTGAAGGAAGATGGGAGGCTGGCCCTCTCTGATCACACTTGGGGTTTCATCAAGGAATGGACAGAGGGCAGGAGCCACATCTTGTTATAACAGCAAGGGCAGGGACAGCATGGATAAAGAATGTGCTGCATAGGGAAATAAGTGCTAACAGATGTGCTTACCTGGGTAGGGGTGGATGCCATTGGCGAACACAGCTTCTGCAGCAGGTTGCCCATTGGCCTGTGGGGGGAGGCCGGTGAAGCCATTCACCCCAATGGGGGACGGGATGCTAGGCACGGCTGGTGCAGTGATGCCCGGAGGGGTGCTGCCACCTGGGATATTCCAGGGATACGGAAGGGTGAAGGAGGAGGGGAGGCAAGCAGAACAAAGGTGAGGAAGGCCCACCCATAAAGCTCCACTCAACTGTTTCCAAGGACATGTGGATAGACTTGGACCTCACATACCAGCTCAATCTTATCTATGACCCATGCCTTGGCTTATCTCCCTATATGAAGTGACTTCACCTATTCCAGTTGTATCCATCCTTTAAGGCAGAGTCCAAATTCCACCTGCCTAAAGAAGATTTCTCTGACCCTGATCGCTTGTCCTTAGACAGCACATAGACTACTCTCAATGCCCTTGACTGTAATCACACTTGGTCTTCCTTCAGTCCTTTTTTTTTTTTTTTTTTTTTTTTTTTTTTTTTTTTTTGTCTTGCTCTGTTGCCCAGGTTGCTGGAGTACAGTGGTGCAACCTCAGCTCACTGCAACCTTCACCTCCTGGGTTCAATCAATTCTCCTGCCTCAGCCTCCCAGGTAGCTAGGACTACCAGCATGCACCACTAGGCCCAACTAACTTTTGTATTTTTTAGTAGGGTTGGGGTTTTGCCATGTGGGCCAGGCTGGTCTTGAACTCCTGACCTCAAGTGATCCACCTGCCTCGGCCTCTCAAAATGCTGGGATTACAGGCATGAGCCACCATACCTGGCCCTCCTTAAGTCTTTTTCAGTGCTGTTACTCTCTCCAGCTAAGGCTGGATGAGCCGGTCTTTACTTGGTCACTGGGGAGCTGATATGCCTCTCCAGGAAGAAGTTTTTCTGCTCAGATGGAGTAGGTCTTAATTCTGGCATTCTCTTGTACTGAGGCAGAGAGGTTGTTATACAGCCCAGACTCAGCTCTAGCTCATACACAAAGAAGACACCTTGGCCTCCTCCAGTTGAAGCAATGTAGTGGTCATGATGGTGAGAATAAAGTTGGGGTCAAATGACAATATCCTGTGTCCTTCCTATGCCAGGTGGGTGGAACCTGAGATGTGGATATTATGGTGATTGTACTGAAAGCCCAGAGGCTGGAAAGGGCCTTCCTCTCACGTAGGAAGCAGGGTCCCTCTGAGAACATGGACCTGAGGCTGGCCCACTGCCTGGGCTCATGTGTATCCCTTGAAGTTGGGGATCAGAAGTGAAGGGTAGTGTTCAAGTTGAGCCCATAGATGGCAGTCTTTTGTGGCTTTCAGCTGGGAAAGGAACATCTCTCGGATGTTAGGAAAGTTGCTGCTGTGGCCTAGGCACAGAGAGCCAAGGAATCTCAGTGAATGAGAGCCTGGGGTGCAGGACCAGCCCTTAGAACTAGACTAGAGTGTCTCAACTTTGACACTATTACCATCTGGGGCCAGATAGTTCCTTGTGGTGGCAGTCCTGTGCACCGCAGGATGTATAGCAATATCCCTGGCCTCTACCCACTAGATTTCAGTAGCAATCCCCACTACCAGTTGTGACAATCAAAAATGTCTCCAGACATTGCCAGATGTCCTGGGGATTCGGGGGCATAACTGCAACAGTTGAGACTCACTGGAACGGACAATAGCGAAGATTCAATCAAAAACATGATTTGTGAGCTGGGTCATTTCCAAACTCCTGCCCCTTGATAACTCTTGTGGTTCTCTCTAGCTTGTTGCATAGTTGTCTTAGAAAAAGCCAATGAGTCTAGGTTGGGTTAAAGGGAAATGGAAAAAAAAAAAAAAAAAAAAAAAAAAAAAAAGCAATACCCAAATGGGTTCCTTCTGTGCTTGGGTCAGGGACTGAACAAGGCCACAGAATGGCCAAGGTTCTTTTCCTCATAGACACTGTAGGGAGATGTCTTCATGTCAATTTCTTTCCAGGTCTCTATTGTTAGTAGAGATCAAGATACATTGTTTCCTGATAAGGTTAAACAGCTTGAGAGAAAGCCACCCCACCCTGAAATCACACCCTAGACTGCATGGGTCCCACATCTCATCTTCCCTTGGATCTTCAGGGATTAGAACATTTTTGAGACAAACTGCCAGAAGGCAAGGTCTCTTGGGCCCAGACACTATGTGCTTTTGCCACAGAATGGTCCGCTGATAGCTGAAATTAGGTCCCAGCCTGGGGCCAGCTGTTCTCCCACCAGGCCAGACCCTGTGTTGGCACCTGCCAGCTCACCTGAGGTTGGGGTCATAGGTGCGGCCGCCAGGCCATTCATGTTGAGGGCCGCCATCTGCTGCATCTGGGCGGCAGCGAAGGCAGCCATGGGGTTCAGGTAGCCGCCCTGTGCGACTGATGCCATCAGGGCCGCTTGCTGCTGCATCAGCTGGGGCAGAGGGAGTGGAAAAAATATCACGTGCTTCCAGGGGGCATCCCTCCCCGACAGGGGCCTCAGCTCCCGGAGACCAACCTCCCAGGCTCTGCGCCCCAGACACCCCAGGCAGTCTCCCACTCCAGAAAGCCCTGATGCCTCTCCATTCTTGCCCTGTACCTCAACAGCTATTAGAGTCCACCGCCCTGAGAGATGACTATGTTTAAAAGTAATGCTAGGGTCTTTGGAACTCTAAAGTTGTTGTTAGGGACAGGGAAAGAGGCTGGTTCTGTGGGTGCTAGTCAGCCCCGTGTACGGCCTGTCATTCGTGGGGAAGTGACATCCAAAGCACTAGAGACATGCGGAATGAGCCTCTGCAAAACTTAACGTAGCACAGGTTTCTGTCCAGAACGGTTTTAATTTGGAGTCTATTGGTAGAAGTGACAGGAGAATTATGAATAGAACCCCAGGCACTCCTAGTGTTGTCACAAAGGCGAGTGCAGACAGGGGAGGCTGCAGAATGTGGCCAAGGCGGACAGTGCTGCAGCAGTGACGTAAGCCTGCATTTTCAGACCCAGAACCGTGGCTGGCCTCAGTGCCACCCACATGGGGGCTGTGGTTACCAGTCTGGAGGCAGCTCCAAGAGAGGCTGACAGAGTGGGTCCGCATGTGGAATAAAGAAGTAGGTGGGCCAGAGGCCTGAGGGGATATCGGAAATGTGGGTGTGTAGGGGTTTAGGGCGCCTCACAGGAGCCCTGCCAGGAGAGACCAGAAGGCCTGAAGTCCCGTTTCATGGAGTGGGGGTTGTTTGCAACCAATGACCTGAACCTCCCCCTCTCATCTGTGCTTCTCGGGGTTCAACGTTGATCTGGCTGAGGGGAAAAGGCTCAGGGTAACCCACGTTTCTGTGGGGCCTCTCTCAGCTCTGCCCCTTAGAACCAAGACAGCAACCCACCTCTTCCTGGCAGCCACCCCAACTGGGCCAGCCTTCTTTCAAACCCTTCTGAAGTTACACTCGCCGGGTTCATGGGTTCATTCCCGGCCCCTCCTCACTCTGGAGGGAAAGGGCGAGGGATAGAGCAGAATTTTCGGTTATGTGTTCTGCTCTCTGGGGCTCCCAGGGGAGTGAGCTTGAGAACTGCTGCCCGTTCGCGCTGCCACTTACTGCCTGAGCGTAGGCGCCGTAGGCCCCGAACGGGATGGCCATGGGGTTGAACATGCCCATCTGGCCAGCCATCTGCTGCATTCGCCGCATCGTGCGCTCCTTGTCGGTGTCGGCGAACTTGACCACCAGACTGGACGAGGCTCCCTGCGGCCGGGGCGGCGCGTGAGACCCACCTGCTCCAGAGCCTCCGCCCGCAGCTGTCGGTGCCCCTGGCCTGCGCCCACCCCGCCCGCTCCTCGCGGCTCTTTGGAGAGGGCGGCATCGGTGCTTGCCCAGGGGAATGAGGTGTGAACCCCACCGCGGGCATTTTCTACCTGGGTAACCTCAGGCCAGTTCCTTAACATCCCTGGGCCTCCACGTCCTTGTCTGAGACCCGGGGATAAGGGTCATGCTTTCCTGTCTCTTGGGGAGACTGGACTGCCGGCGGGGCGTGGCGGGTGCTGGGGTCGCGGCCCGCCGCTGCCCTAGCCCCCGCCCCAAGGGGCCAGCACTCACCGGCATGGTCTGGCTGCCGTGTAGCGCGTTGATGGCTGCCTGCGCCTCGGCGTGGGAGGAGTACTTCACAAAGGCGCACCCTGCGGGGACGCGAGAGGCCGAGCTGGGACCCAGAAGCAGGGCCAGGGAGGGGCCGGGAGGAGAGGGCGCATCCCAGGTGAACGCAGACGGATGAGGCAGAGATTGAGAAAGAGACACCAAGAAGCCCAGAGACAGACGGCGACGGCCCGGGAGACTCAGAGGCGCCCTCAGGTCTCCCCCCGCCTCGCCCCTCCCTCCCGGGCATCCCTCCCGGCCCCGCCCCGCGCACCCTTGCTGTTGCCGTCGGGCCCGCGCAGGATGGTGCACTCCTCGATGTTCCCGAAGGCCTCGAAGAGGCGGCGGACGTCGTCCTCGGACTGTTGCTTGTTGAGCATGCCCACGAAGAGTTTTCTATCTTCTAGAACAAAATTAGGAGATGCTTACCCGGGCCAGGGACCGGGCTGCGCGGGAGCAGGGCACGGCCGGAGGGGGAGGGCGGCAGGGAAAGGGAGGAGCCGGGGAGGCGGGGCTGGGGCTCGGAGCCGGCGGGGGAGGAGTGCGGGGAGGGGTACGGGAGCAGGGCTTAGTCGGAGCGGGAGGGGCGAGGGGGAGAAGTGGGTGGGGTAGCAGCGCACAGCCGCGGGACAGGTGCGGGGAGAGCTGTGGCAGGCAGGAGCTGGATCGCAGCGACTCGGCCTCTCCCCGCCTGCAGGGCAGGCTGCACCCTGAGGAGCAGAGCCCTGGGCTGGCTCCTCACTAGAGCACACGGGCAGCCTGCGTTCCCCTCCTCCCTCCTCTCACGCGCTATCCTCCACAGGCACCAAAATGAATTACAACTGGCAGGTCTGCCGTCGGGCCTTTGCAGATGCTGTTCCCCTGCCTGGAGCGCACTCATCACAAGGTCCAGTCCTTCTCTTCTTTTAGATCTCAGTTTAAGTATTGCCTCCTCACCCATGCTCCTGCTTACCCCTCCCTTACTCTGTTTCAGCCCCCCATCCCTTTGGCCAGAATGTCAAAGGACAATGACTGCTTTGCTTTGCGGTTTTCCGTATAGCTCTCCTTTCCCATCCATTCCCTGGGATGCTCACAGGGGAAAGAGACCAGGTCTCTCTGCTGAAGCAGCAGTGCCTGGAGCATAGGAGGCCCTCCATTCAGTGATGAGGGGAATAAAAAATGAGTGACTGCGCGCCCTGTGCCATCCCAGGGCACACCTCTTGGGTATCTCACATATTTTTTCCCTCCATCTGGATACCCCTTCCTCGTTCTGGCTCTTCTTATTTCTTCACGCTGCAAAATTCGACCCTGGGCACTTTGGGGGCACCTGTTCCTGAAGATACCTCAGCAGCCCCCACACACCTGGGGCGAGTACCAAGTGCTTTGTTGACCCCATGCTGTGTGCTCAGGGAGCAGCCCCCACACACCTGGGGCGAGTACCAAGTGCTTTGTTGGCCCCATGCTGTGTGCTCAGGGAGACAAGGCACTGTGTGCTCAGTATCGACCTGCAGCAGCTGGTGAATGACTGCAGAAGGCACCCCCAGCCCACATGCGGCTACTTCAGTGTGACTGCCACTCCTCTCACTGAGAGTTGGGGGGCGTATTCCTTCCCCTTGAATCTCAGTGGGGCTTGTGACTGCTCTAACAAATAAAGAATGGCAGAAGTGATGCCAGGTGACTTCTGAGGTTGGGTCATAAAAGAGATCAGCTTCCACTTGGCTCTGTTTTGGGGGGCTGTTAGATCTGTGGAAGCCAGCCACCATGCTGTGAACCCCCAATTAGCCCATGCAGAAGAGTCCCCATGAAAAGGAACTGAGGCCCCAGCTGACAGCCAACATCAACCACCAGACATGTGAATGAATGGGTCCTCAGATAATTCCAGCTCCCAGGCTTTGAATTTTCCAGCTGAGGCCCAGACATCCTGGAGCAGAGACAGGCCTTCCATGCTGTGCCCTGTGAATTCCTGACCCACGGAATCCATGAGCAAAATAAATGGTTGTTTTACACCACTCAGTTTCGGGCTAAATTGGTATGCAGCCATAGGAACTGGAACAGAGTCCCAGGGGTGGCTGCACTCAGCAGGCATTCACTAGATGTTTGTGGATGATTACATGATTGACACACAGCCAAAGCTGCAGAAATGCAGACCCCAAAACTGCAAATGGCCATGTGTTCATGGTTTCCTCTGAACACATGGGCACTCAAAGACCCTGTGTCCTTCTGTATCCAAGGTGGTTACTACCTTCTCTCTCAGAGAACCCCCACCTTGCCCAAATTGCCAGGGGAGTTCGCTTAGAGCTGAGGGGCTGTCCCGGGTTCTGAAGCAAAGCAGAGGAAGCTTCCAGGCCCCTGTGCTCCACAAGCCACCTGCAGAGTCCTCCTGCCTTCTGCCCTGCTGGTACTACTCAGTCCAGATGCACTCAACACTGGGCCAGTTCTCCATGATGACATGGTGCCGGGTCCCAGTTCCTTCCACAACCTGTAGGGCACAGTTGCTGGTCCCTGTTACCAGCTGTGGGTCAGAAAACACCAGCTGGCCCTCCAACAGGGTGGGCCTCAGCTAAAGCTCTGGACCCCAGAGCCCCAGCCCCACTTCCTGCCTCAAGCTGCTCTTCTGGCTCCTTTGGCTTGGCAAGACTTTGGGGCACACTCCCACCCCATCTCCGAGGTTCCGCGTGCAGCCTTACCCGCCCCCCTCCTCCAGCTCCAGGCTCTGGGGCACAAGGAGAAGGGAGAGAGAGAGGGAGGATGGAAGAGAAAAGCTGAAGTGGGATGGGAGGAGATAGAATTCATCGCAGAAAGGGAGCGGGGGAGAGAAAATGACAGGAAACATAGACAAGAGAATTAGAGGCAAAGAGCTGGGAGAAGAGGGCTGGGGGGAAAGATGACAGAGACAGAGGACAGACTGGGGAGCCCTTATGTTTGACTCCTGGAAGCAGCAACAGCAATTTACTGGAAGTGAAATGGGAGCTTTTCCTTCTTTTGTGGAGTAATTAAAACTCTTCCCTCCAGGCACAGCCCCCAGTGTTCCCCCTACCTCCCCCTCAACCTTTAGTGCCTTTTAAAGGCTCAATTGAATAGGGTTTCTAGAAAGACTTAGAAATGGAACCCCGCCCCTGCTAATCCCTGGCCCTCTTGCTAAAAATTCCACTTCCTCACTTGGACAGAAAAAGGAAAGAAAGGGAAGGCACCTCCTCTGCCCAAGCTTGATTTACATTCGGAGACCGCAGCTCCTCGCCTTCGCCTCTCCTGACGTCTGAATGCATTCCTTTATTATTGCCATGACAGCTTTCTGATTGCATTAAAATTCATCCACATGTGCCTTTCTATCCAGCCACTTCCTTTTTTGCCGGTTTTGGGTTTTTTTGTTTTTTCCTAATTCCTCGTTCCCCTCCCCTGAAATCTCCCTTTACTGTGCAGTTCTCAGTTAAGCGCCTCCTTCTCGAGGCCTTTCTAAACATATAAGCGGCCAGGCTCCTCTCTTCCTCCCCATCTGGATTTCCCAAGGGAAACTACAGCCACCCTTACCTTTCTGGAGGGCTGCAAGATACCAAAGAAACCCAGCTTCAGACCCACTTCCTCCAGGTAGTCGTGGATTGACCACACCCAACTCAAATGTCTGCTTCTGGGATCCTCAAATGCGTTCAGTTTGCACCATCCTCCGGTTGGGTATTGTGACTTATACGAGTGATTCTAAGGCTTGTCTCTCAGACCAGGGGCTGAAGGGACTTTGAGTTCACCCGTGGACCTTCTTCAGGGCCAGGCCCACTGACTCCCACTCCGGCTCCCCTGCTCCACACCTGAGTTTTGGGATCTATGAAATGGGTATGGTTAGATGCTTCTGTCATGGTGGTGGCTAGGGTCCCAGTGCCTGCCAAGAGGTCATTACCATGGCAATGGCCCCTACTTGGGTTTCTCCATGCAGGAGGAAGAGGAAATGCAGTGCTGTTTGCCCTTCATTTGCCCTGCCTTGCTTTGGCCTGGAGGGTCACCCCTACTGTGAGGGGGCAGAGGTCAAAGAGGGTGAGAGGAGAAGTCAGAGGATCCACATTTCACGATGGGGAGCACACTTGAAGCAACAGGTTGGACTAGATTCTGAGGCTGTGGCTGACCAGCTGAGATGGATGACATCTCCCTGTCTCCCACCCCCTCTGCCCACCTCCTTTTTGGCCACTTTCCTGAGGCACTGTCTCAGGCTGTATCACATAACCAACGCTACCATTTGGCTGGTGTCTTGGGTCTGATGCCAATTTTGCAAGTCTTGGAGAATGACTCAGTTTTCCCAGCCCGTGCCCACCCTTCTCCATCCACACAGCCCCTGATTCCTGGTACAGGCAGAGCAGGCCCTGATCACTGCCCAGCTGCCTGAGCTGGGACCCCTGGTAATGGAGAGGCTCTGGTGGCCCCCCTGTTCAGGTGAGCCCTCAGCCTGAGGCTGTTGCTTCCTGTAGTTGGGGTATTGGGGAACTGCCCCTCTGAAGAGATGTTCAGGCAGGTGCTGCTGGACTGGGCCAAAGTGGTGAGGCAAGGAGTGGCCTCAGAGTTAGTGAGGGGATGGGCTGAAGAGTGACTGAGAGGTCACTGAGACCCCTGGGGGCCCAGAGATGTGATGAGCAACTGGAGGCTGGCACTGGGAGCCCAGAATTCTCTTGACAGAGCCCAGCTCAGGTCAGAGGCTCAGCCCTGGGAGTTGGAAACTGAGCACAACAAAATCTGCTGACCTAGGCTGAGGGGACGGAGGCCTCATGGGTTCCTCCTGGTCAAGGGGCAGAGCAAGGGAAGCATATTCTACAGTCTCTCAACAGCTGTTCACTGAGCGCCTTCTCTGTGCCAGACACTGTTCCAAGCATTGCGTCTACAGTGGTAAACAAGAGAGACGAAGCTGCTCATCGGAGCTGGCATCTGGGTGGAGAGACAGGCCATCCACAATACACAAGTGCCCAAACAAGACAAAGGCCAGCAGGGCTGCCACACTGTGGCCCCAAGAACTGCTGTCCTTGCACCTGGAAGAACAAGGCCATCGAGTGGCAGAACTGGGCAGGACCCCGGATAACACCAAGGGTTTCATGCTTTTTCAGATGAGGAAGGTGGGGCGGAGAAGGAGCCCCAGGATGCACAGGAGGTTGCCCATAGCTGGAGCCTGGACTCAACCCAGCCTCACGGGGTTCCTTGATTTCATGATCACAAAGCCCTTGCTGCTGCAGTCTGCTCTTTTAAATCATGTCTGTGCCTGCAGGTGTGAGGGAGCATCTGGGGTTCTGTGGAACAGGAGTGTGACTCCCCAAAGGGCTGGGCAACAGGAGGTGGGTGCTCATCCAAGCCCTGCCTGGACCCAGAGAGGGCAGCTTGGCTGTCTGTCCCCAGATGTCTAACCATCATGGGGGAGTAGGCAGAGTCTGTGCTCACCACCCACCTGTGCAGGAG